GTGAGTATCGTGTCATTTTAAAGGGAAGTCCTACATCCGCCAGAATGTCATTAACAGCACCTCCAAAAGTTCCTTTTCCAAATGTTCCTGCTACATACATTTTATCACCATCAATATAAAAACCTTTACCATTACCATATGCTTTACTTAATCCTTGTGCATCAGTTAAATTAGAATTAGTATAATAACTATTTAATATTTTGTCAGTTTGTTTCATAACATTAGTTATTTTAGTTGTTTTCTTATAAGGTTGATAATGTTTAATTTTCCCATGCTTCATTTCATAAATTAACTTTGGATTATTAATCATATAATTAAAGTTATAAATTAATTTCTAAATTAATTAATAATGCTCACATATAAGAAGGTCTATATTGACAGTGCTCATAGGATTAGAGGTACATCATCAAATTTTAGAGTTGAATTGCCGGAAACATTACAAACAGACAACGGGGTTCATTGCTACATTCACGAAGTAACATTACCTAACTCGTGGTATTCAATACAGTCAGGATTAAATAATATACTATACTTTTATTCTTCTCCGTTAGTTCCAGATGAAGATAATACAAATGTTCATTGGATTGCTGTTGCATTGGCAGAAGGAGTTTATACTGGTACAGAACTGGCAACAGAATTAAAAACAAAAATTAACGGTATTGTTGATAATGTCAATTTCTCAAATACTTATGAAGTTACTTACAGTGTAAAAACTAATAAAATCACGATTTCTTCAAACTATGCCGATAGACAATTTGCAGTATTAACTGATGAACAAATGAAGATAATATATGAAAGTTATATTTGGATTGGAAGTTTTGATGCTAATGATTTAAAGTCTGTTAATGAAGTTTTAGGAAATTATCAAATGAATGTTTATCAATATGGTAATGCTTATGTTTCTGGTTTCGTTAATCTTCAACCTATTAGAAATATTTATATTCATTCTTCTCAATTGTCTAATTATAATCAAGTAAATTTAAGGACAGGCGATAGCACAGTTGTTAAGAAAGTGCCAGTCACAGCACCACACGCGGGAATTGTCTTTGATAATGAAATGAACCCTCTCGATTACTTGGATGTGTCAAATAGAAGCTTTAAACAGTTAGACTTCTGGTTGTCTAATTCATTAGGTAATGAAATTAATTTGAATGGGGTTAATGTTAGTCTGAGTCTCCTTTTCGTAAAAAGTGATATTATTTAAATATATTCTATATAGAAATTTAATAGAAAATATATAGAATATATTATATGACAAGTATTGAGGTAGTAGATGTTAATAATGAAACTAAAACAGACGAAGCACCTATTAATAATGAGGTTGTTGAACAAAATGAAACAGTTAATGAAGAACCAACGCCAGAAGAACCAACTGAAGAACCAACAAAAGAAACCATAGACAAACCAAAAGCAAAAGCAAAAGCAAAAGCATTACCAAGAACAAAGAAAGAAATTGAAGTAGTCCAATGTGAAAAATGTGGTAAATCTATGAATGCTAAATCACTTCGTTTTTCACATCCTAAGAATTGTAAGGGTGTGCCTACTGAATTATTACCAGTCAATCCACAAAAGAATATTAGAAAGATTCAACCAGAATTGAAAGAAGAAATTAAGAATGAGATTAAGCAAGAAGTGATTAAAGAAACCATTAAGAAACCCACAGCAACAGAACTGTTAAACCAACATTATGAAGAACTTAAACAAAAGAAAAAACAAGATAAACAAGAAAAAATAAACAAATTATCTTCATCAATGTTTTAAATAATAATCTAATTATAATATATACATCATGCTTATGAGAAGTCATAGAAATGTAGAATTCAAAAGAGCACCACAAGTAGAACGCCATTATGACGTTTCAGATTTATGGGGAGTTGCCTCGCGTATGAATTACTTTAAACAGTTGAAGGACACACTGGAAGCGAAACAATCACAAGGAGCATTAATAAAGTATAGAAACGATTTAGTTGAAAGCAACAGAACCGAAAGTTATAGAAAAGAGTTAGACAGAATAAGAAACATATTAGACAACACACGGTCACCAGACGGAATACAAACAAAGGAACAACTAACAGTAAGAAAGAAACATTTAGAAGAAATGATTAAGAATATCTCTGATTAATTTATTTTTCTAAATAATTAATATACTATGATTAAATCAATGAATAGATTGAATACAGTAGGACCGGTAAAAGTAGGGTCATTGAAATCACAATTACATTTGAGACCTTCTTATGATGAACTATTGAAAGAAACATTAGTAGGAGATGAGAACCGTCCATCAATTGAAAATGTAATAGACAGAAAAGCAACCAGATACAGATTAAATCAATACGGTAGTCAGTTTGATAATAAAGATGCTTTGGATATTCAGAAGAAACAAGAACTGAACAGAAGAGAAGAAGTTATGAAAGAAGCGTCGTCGGACGGTGGTAGTGTAAGAGCTAAACTTGATGACACACTGAAACAACAGCAGTCTTTCATTAATGAAAGATTGGCGGAAGCAAACAAACAGAAAGAAGAACTTGCTGAAAAAATGAGACTTTGGAGAGAACAACACGATGAAATGGCAAGTGCTGTGTCAAAACAATCAATACCAGAAGGTGTAGAAATTCATTCAATGGTGTCCGCTGATGAAATGCCAGAATTAGAACCATTAGAGGAAGGGGAAGAAGAAGATGAACATGAAAACGACCCTGTAGTTGAAGTAGAAGCATTGAAAAAAGGTAAGGATGATGACGATGACGCTCAAACAACCATTACTAATGCTGAGATAATGGAAATGCAAGAACAAGCAAACGAAATGGAATTACAAAATGTTGAAAATGAAGATGTTGATGATGAACGAATTTTCAAAAATTATTTAAGTGGTATAAAGTGGATGTGGCCGGTATATTTAGCAAAAAATCCAAGAAGTTTAATGGATAGTATAATTTCAAAACTACATCAATTCAATGTAATTAACGCTGTTAAATATGATGAGTTCAAAGAATTATTAGATGAATATAACAATACAACAGGAGTAGATAGAAACGCAGTGAAGGTTAAACTACAAAAATATTATGAGGACAATGTTTATAATAAATACTTCGTCCATAAAGCAACCCAACAATAAATAATCTATAATATTTAATATGACTGATAAATATTATGGATTAAGACGACGCCCTACATTTGATGAAATGTTGAAAGAAGCGATGACACACAGATTAAAAATTGAAATCATCCCTGAAAGACAGACATTTGACACATCAATTAATAATATAGACTTTGATGATTTTGACCTTTCAAAATACGATAGGAGACTACGATTGAATGCTAGGGTTCAAACTGATAAACAAGTTCTTCAACATGAATTGTTCCCTGATATGTTTGATGAAGTAGCGCCAACATCACAGTTTTATGAAAACAACGAAGCAGACGCACAAACAACACGATATATAGCAAAAGATTTTACTGATGAAATTTATAGTAACGCAACTTCAGGACCAAAAGATGAACCAAAAGATGAACCAAAAGATGAACCAAAAGATGAAAAGCAGGAAGATTTACAAAGTCTTCATTTAACATCATCATCGTCATCAGCATCAACCGAAAAAGATAAGAAAGAGGAAAGCCAAGAAATAAAGTCATTAAGAAACATATTTTTAGGTGGAGAAGACAAGAGTGTGTTTGAATTATTCAAACGAGAAAAGAAGTCATCCTCACCGTCCATTCAATCCGAAGAACAAGAAGAACAACCAAGGGCATCATTCTGGACAAGACGACAGGTAGAAGCAAGAAGCAGAAGTCACTCACCAGAAGAAAGAGCAAGAGGCAGTCAATGGGGTATAAGACAAATGGAAACGAGAAGCAGAAGTCGGTCACCCGAAGAAATAGCAAGAGGTAGTGAATGGACGAGGGAACAAATGGAAACAAGAAGCAGGAGCAGAAGCCCAGAAAGCGCTGACACAAAAAGTAGCAGAGGCAAGAAGAAAAAATAAAACTACTTAAAGAAATGACCCCTTAATATATTAAGAAAAAAAATGAATAAGTGTATCAGAGAAGAATTGACAAAAGAAATTGTAAAATGCCGTGGTTGTAAGATATACAACAACAAAGTCAAAAAAGCAAATGACATATTTCCTGACTGTATCATTGATAATATTTTGAGTTTTGTATGTTGTAAAAGATGCACCATTACAAAACATTTAATGAAAAACGAACCTGACAATTTAAAAGAAATGGATAAGTGGATTTGGTATATGACGAGGTTAAATAAATGTCCGACGAAAAAGTCATTACGGACAATATTTACAACAGGTTTAGACAAAACCTTAAAAGAGTATGGATACGATAATAGGTTAATCTTGAATTATGAAACCGCTACTCAATTTCATTATAATTTACTTTTTAATCATAATGATGGTTATGTATCTTGTGAAGATTTTAGCATCTCGATGTGTAGGGATTTTCTTAAAATGTTGAAATGGCAATATATAGAAAACAAAGACAAAGTCGTTTATAAAAACATTTTTGATAATAAGTTTTATCATAAATTCGTCTGTCATTTGTTAGAAAAGAAAAGGTTGATTATAGACTTTTTTAATTATAGAGATTAAGATTAAGTTTATTCATATTAACTTATAATATGATTAAACACTTGAAACCCTAGAAAGCCTTAAAATTGTCTGAAACCCGAACCTTGAAAATGATGAAATCTTAGACTGTTTCATAATGAAAAAATTGTAAAAAAATGTTGAGAAAATTTAGGAAAATTCCCCACAATCAACCTTGGTGTTTTGAACAAAATGGTTTGCTTGTTTAAAAGTAGTGTTTAACCCTGAAACCCTGAACTGAAAATACCCTACCCTAGAACCAACCTTTCTACTATTTTTCCGTGCCAGGGCCCTTTGACAAGAGGTGCAGGTTTAAACCATGAAGTGGCTTGGCCCCCTAGGCTTAGGTCCGCCTGAACTCTCGCATCTCACCGTCTCACCGTCTCCCTTCTGCCAAGCGGCAAGAAGAGCTGGCTGGGGCTCGGGTTCCTGCATCAAGTGCTCTTCTCTCTCTCTCTCTCTCTGCCTGCGTCCGCATGGCTTTTAGCTTGCGCAGCTTTTGTGCCCTTTCACGTGAGCCCCCCCTGCCGAACCTGACACAACCTGCACGGCCGAGCGAGCCAAGCGAGCCGCGAGCCGCCTGGCTAGCTGACAGCAACGCATCGATCGCCGCCGCGTCGAAGTCCGCTGGCACCTGACGGACGCGAGGAAAAAATGCCCAATGAGCCCACCTTCTCATATTAAAATGGTGTACCCAGAACATCGTAAAGAATAAAATAAAATAAAAAGCGGCGGCAGCCACTTGTGGTTGGGATTCTCCCTTACTAATCTTCATATGCCCGGCTTCTGATCGTGGCCCAAATGCGTTGGACATGAGAAAAGGAGTGTGAATGAGTCACCTACTTTTTCTAGTAGAGAACTTGGTGAGTCCATAACCCTCCCAAATACATCAACGCCTGGATTGCTTAACCTCACTGACCTCGCATTGGCGGAAAAAACACTAAACACTTAGCCAGTCGCCGGGAACATTGCCGCAGGAGGAGGGAAGCTTTGCTCGCCTCGGCCACGGCAATGCGCATCAGCGAGCCACTGCATCCCTGCATCAACTAACCAATTGTTTGTTGTTGTATTTTTTGCGGGGGCGGGTAGCTGAGATCTTTAGCTCCTGCGTTTTGGGAATTTGATCATCCCCAGCCCCGGCCCCCCCAACATAGTCCAAAGTCCATAGCCGGCGCCTCCAGTTCCCACTGTAACAAGCAACCAGGGTTTCTTGCCTCTAGGCTGTAATCAACACCAGGTATTGAGATGGTCGGGACCCGGAACCATGTAAAGAACTACCCAGGCGGAGATCCGCACCCATTTATGGCAAGGGGATTGTCACTTATCCTCCAATTGCCCGAATCGGCCTTGAGCAAGTGACTCGCATGATAACTTCCCGTGGATATCAACATTCGCCCTACCTTAAGAGGGGGTGGGGGTCCCCATAAAAGGGGAAAATGGGTGGCAACACGGGCCCCTCCGGGTTGACTCACTGACAACTAGGTGGGGGTCCGGGGCGTGGGTTACCATACCTGGAGAGCCCCATCGAAATCAGCCCTCCCCCAATTCCATATGGGTCGAGATGTAATTTAGGAGTTGTTTTTGTTTTATGCTTTTGTTTTATTTTTGGATTTCTTTGTTCCGTCCTGGCTAGTAACATGCTGTATTTTACTGCATGTTCTCACGAAATGTACGTATTTTTAGTCCGTCAACATCATCAGCATCGTTTTCAACATCCCCCGCATGCCCAGCCAACATCCCCAGCATCACCAGCAAATCAAGGGATCATCAGTTCCTCTCCGGCAAGGTAGGTAGGCATTTATGTTAAAAAGAGGGGCGGGTCCCCTCATGATGGTAAAAGTGAGGATTCAAATACGGGTGCAATCCCCGTAAAACACCTAAAGCGTAGCCGGGCTGTTGGGGAGGCGGCAGCCCCCCCCCCGTGATGATTAAAAAAGTGATGATTCAAATAGGGCCAGGGGTTGGGGGGGGGGGGGCGGCAGCCCCCTCCATGATGATTCAAAAAGTGATGATCGAAATAGTGATGATTCAATTGGGGCCAAAAAGTCTAAAAAGCAGCGGGGGGAGGGGTTGGGGGGGGGGCGGCAGCCCGCCCCCATCAAAAGTGATGATTCAATTAGGGGCAAAGAAATCTAAAAAGTAGCTGTCGCATGATGATCGTGCATTTTAATCGAAAGGGGGGTGGGGGGACCAGGGAGGAACTGGCGATGCTGAGGATGCAAGAAGCCAAGGCCAAAAACCAACTGGGCAAGAGAGGATGCGAAAAGCCAAAGCCAAAAAGCCGCCAAAAGCCACAAAGCCAAAAAGCCACCTGCCGCAGCGAAACTAGCAATGCAGAGGATGCGAAAAGCCAAAGCCGCAAAAGCCGCATGAACCCACAAAGACAAACAGAGAGGAAGTGTGAATGCAGAGGATGCAAAATGAAAAGCCACAAAAGCCACAAAAACCACAAAAGCCAAAAAGCCGAAAGCCACCTGCCCTGAAAAACAAAAAACAACTTTAAAAAAAAAAAAACGGAAAAAATCCTAAAAAATGGCCCTCCATTCCATATTTACTTGCTGGCGCTCAGGAGATTAATTAGAATGAAGCTGGGGGTCTTCTTGAAGTCTCTTTAAACTCTCCATAAACGCGAACATTGTTGCCTACCAGCCCTTGGTACAGCCCAGCCAAATTCCAGGCACTCCATGCCGACATCGCCGCGGCTGCTTTGGCCGCGCGCCATTGCTGGAGCTCCAGCACGCCTTGCGCGTGGGCGCGGGGGGCCAAGACTTGCTGGTGCGCAGTAGGGAATGTAGGAAAGGGAATGTGGGAATGACCCCAGGAGACCCCTTAGAGAAAACCACAACGAATGGTTTATAGGATCATTCCTTGCTGAGCACCAGCAAGAAAAGGAAACACACCCTTTGAGAGCTTCCGCAAAGGTCCAAGTATGAGCCTGTAAAGAAATGGCCGTGGCTCACAATTAAATGGGAGGGGTTACGCAGGTGTTGGTCCATGTTTCCACTTACCAGGGTTCCATTTTGGCACCGGGTTTTTTGAGCCACAGCCAAATGGATCCTGGCAAGTTGACAGTCCCAAGCAGCCCCTAGCAACGGACATGACAAGAACTCCAGAAAAAGCAGGATGCGTGACGCTTCTGATGCTGTTCGAAAGACTTCACCTACAAACCAAGGTATGGCACCCATCCGAATGCTCAGGCACACCTATTGGCTCGCCATCCAGGTCTTCGTCTACACCTTGGTGCCAGCTTTGCCTTCATCTCTGCAAAGCCAAATGGCCATGGGTCAAAAGCCCGTACCCCGAGTGAACATCCCAATCCCCACTAAAATAGGCTCTAACCTGGGTGGTGCACCTACCCCAAAATGGGATTGCATTGGTTTTGACCCACAGCTTAAATGATGTTCGCACTCACTCTTGCAAAAGCAGCGGGGTGGGTTGGCACCCCTCAGAAAGCGACTGCCAAATTCAGCACTTGCAGCTGAAGGCACTGGCCGCTGGCACCGGCGTGGAGGCCAAGGACCACGCGGTCGCCATAGGTCCGCGTCTCGTTGGCTCCATCCTCTGGGAGGTGAACATTGGTAACATGTGCGGACTCGCCAGGCGCTACCTCTTTGGGCCTACTGGCAATTTATGAGATCCTGGGCGCCCGCTGACTCGCTTCGACTGGAGTCCCATCAAGATCATCTTGTACTTGTGGCAAGGCCGGCTGAGCTGCGCCGGAGCTCTTTGATCGCACGGACCAGTAGTCCTCGAAGACCCTCAGCCTTTGCAGTAACATAGACTTGGACGGTGGGATCTGGTTCCAGCTCACCGACCACAGCCCTCTATTCCGACATCTTCTCTCCAGCGCGAGTGGGTCCAATGCTGCATAGACTTCCAGCTTCCTCAAAGCACTGCAAGCCACACTCTACCAAGACATGACATGCAGCCAAGACATGCCAAGACATGCCAAGACATGCCAAGGCTCATCCGGGTCTCCTTGCTCAGAGGCTGGGCCATCGCTTCCGTCTGAAGCGCTCCAGCAAAGCCCGCCGCCTCCAGACCTCAAGCGTGCCGTAGCTGGCGCAAAAGTGTCGACGCCCGCTCAAGCGAGCGGAAGCTGTGAACGCCGCCGCACAAAAACAGAACCAGAACCCACAAACTAGGCAGATACCGTCCAGGTAGATCTTGGGATAGACCTCCGCATCTCGCCATGCCTGGCGGGAACTCTCTGCATCCTCGCCCGCGCGTCTCTGGCCTCGGTCCTCGCTTTGACTCCTCCTTTGCCCATCTTTGGGTCATAGCGCCCAGGCCCTTCCGCGGCCCAGCGGCCAAGAGGCCTTTGGGGTGCCCGGCCTTGAGGACGCGCCGCAGCTTCATCTCCGTGAAGCTCCTCTCCCCAGTGGCCTCTCCAAGCGCCACCAGGCCGCAGTACATCCGATGGAACACGCTCGGAAGCAGCTCCTGCAAACAAAATTCGGAGAATTCGCGTGGCGGTGGTGGCAGCGACGATGGCCAGGGAGACAACGAGAATGACAACAGCGAGATCTGATGTGGATATTGCTGCTGCCACTGCTGTGAATGATGACGATGATGACGATGATGATGATGATGATGATGATGATGATGATGATGATGATGATGATGATGATGATGATGATGATGATGATGATGATGATGATGATGATGATGATGATGATGATGATGATGATGATTGGTGCTAATTGGTGTTTGTGGCAGTGCTAGTAGGGGTGCTGGTAATGGACGCAATGATGAAAGTGATCGCCGTGCTGGCAATGATAACAATGACGATGAGCGCAATTTTGCACCACAACCGCAGCGGCAGCAGCACCGTCAAAACCATCAGGCAGCAGAAAAAGGCAACGTCGTAACCCTCTGCGACAACTTGGAAGCTGTCATCGCCTTCAAAGGAACCAAAGACAACCCAAGGAACCACAGGGAACGAAAGGGAAACAAAGTTCACCAAAGCTGACCAAAGGGACCAAACGGACCAAAGGGACCAACGGGAAGCAGACGAACCTTCTTGCGCCTTTTTTTCCTCAAACCAAACTAAAGCCAAAGCCAACTTCGCGGTTGGCTCCTCAAAGGCTGAGCGGTATGCGGTGGCGCCGGGGCAGCGATGGGAGTAGCTCAAGTTCTGCAAAATGTCTGAAATGCCTAAGGGATGCAACCCCATGGGGCTCGAGGGGGGGGGTCAGGTTTCTTGTGTGGTGTGGGGGAGGGGTTGTCAGTGTGTGCGCTTTTTGTTAGGGGGTGTCAAAGCTTTGTTTGTACCGCATTCTCTGAGGGCCAAAGTTTTGTTTGCCCAATTTTTGTGTCCCTGAAAGAAAAGGCGGCACGCAGCGGCGGCACCCGGAGGACAAAAGGAGGCCACTAGACGCCCGGAATGACAGATTCTCGTGTCCCAGCCGGGCTGCAGAAGATGCACGCCAATTCCTGGGCAACGAGGAGTCACCCTGCTCCAAGACATAAATCCGGATTTTCCCTGTCCCTGGCTCTGGCTGCCGAAAGGTACTTGGCAGTGTCCTTTGTTTGAGGCAACCTGTTTGGGATTGGTAGGGGAAACCAAGGGTCATACGCCACCCATTTTTAGGGGTTCGCAGAATAAAGAGACACAACTCCGGAGCCCTGCAAGGTGGGATTTTCCTCTGGTGGTGACCCAAGCTGATCAAACTGCTCCCAAGCCGCAAGGCGGCCCAAGGGCGTGTAGTGCAAGGCCACGCACCGCGCAGCCAGCTGATTCGCCAGCTCCTTGGCGTGGGCGGCCTGCTCTAAGCCTGCGGGGCAGAAAACGTCGCCGCCGCGCCGGCCAAACGAAACAGGCCCCAGCTGAGGCACAATCAAAACCCGGCACCAAAATGGCCGTCCCAGAACCATTCAAGAACTTTCCAGGCGGAGATCCGCAGCTGGCAAGGGGACCTTCCCTTCTAAGCTTCACTTGGGTTTTGATGGTGGCTCAGCTCACCTTCCCTCCATTCGACACTTTCAGACTGTGTTTCACTTGAACATCCCAGCTCGCACGTCAGCCGAGGTTCAGAAGACCATCACCTCCGCCACCGCGGTCTTCCGCAGCGACGCGGCCTCGGCTTCGGGGCGCAAGAAGCTGAAAACGCAAAACTTGGCCCAGCCTCATCCACCAGCTGGTCCAGCACAAGCGTCGGACCTGAAGAAAGTGCTGTCGGATCACACCCCTCGCAACAGTGACCCGGGGAAAAAGCATGGGCCTGATGGAACCGTGGCAGCAGCAGTCGTGGTCGCACACATCGTCTGAGCCATGGCTGTGACAGTTGACGTGGCAGTAGTTGCCCACGTTGCTGTTGTAACAGCCGTTGCGGTCGCACAAGCCGAGGTAGCGCAAGCCGAGGCAGCGATGGCCGTCACGTGTGCCTGCCGCAAATCCAGCTCTCAACTGATTCAGTTGATGCGAGCTCTGTTCTGTCGCCGGGCTCCGCAATCTGAATCGGAGGCCATCTGAAAACGTCTTCACCCCTCAGCCTCCCGCGGCGGCTCTAGATCGAAGGTGCGCACCCGGCGCGGCGGCCTTGGATTTGTTTGGTGTCAATGTGGTTCCGTTGCTTTCCTTGATACATGTTGAGTTGCGTAGATGCGGGCGGGCGCACGTGATTGAGTGCACCAGCTGATGACTAGACAAGAAATTGCCTGCATTGCGGTGTGTCAAGAATGGGAACCCTGGAAGTGTAACCATGGACTAAAACCTGCAGTCCCCTAGTGATTCAATTTTGACCCATAACCCCATGTTGCGAATTCTTCCTGCACGGAGTGGCAACGCTAGAGGCGCAGTAAAAACAAGCAGCCCTTTCAGCTGAAGCCCTACCAGAGGTGAAGGAAGCCCATTTACAGCCGAGGCTCTTAGCTGCCGCGTACGGACCTCAAACCGACTTTGGGTGAGCAAGCTCGCCCTCGGATCATGGAAGCTGACAGGAGGAGTTTGGAAGACGATTTTCCTGGTTCTAGGGGTACCTTTTCTTTCCAGGCATCCTTCTTTCTTAAAAGAACGATGGTTGAAAAGTATATGGAATCAAACCCTAGACTGGTGGGAACCCCCCCCTGTCCACTTCCATGATTGGAGAGGATTAAATGCTGAGGCCTGAGTGCACTGACAACAAGCCTCAGCCATCCACCGGCGCTTGGCTCAACTCTCCCGCGTCCTGACGCCGAGGCAACTGAGGAGCACTGAGCTGATTGCTGCCATAGCCGGCGGGACAGGTACAGGCAAGAGGGAGCGACTCAACAAACAGATTGAATTTGAAGCAGTCATGACTCGGCCTTTGGAGGTTTGAGGTCGTGTGTTCGTGCCATAATCTGCCACCATAAGTTGTGAAAGGCCAAAAGTTAAACGGCGCTCTTAGTGGCCCACTCTATCCGCGAGAGGTCACCTAGGGCTTAGCGAGGGCGCCGCTTCAGAACGCCCATGTTGACAGGCAGGTCCTTCATCTGCACTCGGCGGCTCGCCTGATTCGACGCGACGTGCTGTAAGGCCCCTTTGGCCACACAGACACACCACACACACACACATACTAATACACAGAACTCAGATCGAATGTTCCACGGTTAGCTTGAAGCCGAAACAAAAGGAAAAGGGTGCGGATTTATTTTGGGATTTTGTTTCCGGATTTTTTCGGGGGAAACAAATACTAAAATAGATACCCCTCCAAAGGAGAACCACCATATTGGGATCCATTTGGTCACCCCTCCGGTCCGACTCGGGCCTTGCCAGCGCCGGGGTCTGGATCGCCGACCTGCCGCTGACTCAGCGACCCGCCCGACGAAACGTCCCTGGCCTGTGCCGGAGATGCGTCGTCGCACACGTCCTGGCGGCCAAAATGTCAAAAACGTCTGCCTTGAAACAGGAATATATATATATATGTATATATATATATATGTGGAATATATATATATATATATATATGTATATATATATATGTATGTATGTATGTGTGTTTGTGTGTGTGTGTGTGTCAGTGTGTGTGTGTGTGTGTTTTGTTTCCGGGCACCCCCCAAGATGATGTTCCCTTCATTTCCCTTCAAAACCAAGCAAAAAATGGGGGGCGGGGTCCCTCAAAAAACACACACACACACAACTAGTGGGAACAACCTCCCATCTGAAAAGTATGAACATGTGTGCGCGCAGGTGCCTGCATGAACTCATTTCTTAGGAAAGGCTGCGCACCTGCGTAATCTGGACTGTCAGAACGCTGGCGAGCATGCTCCATCCTGGCGCACCGTGGGAGCGTGCCAAGCAGGAGCTTCGCCTCTGCCGCTGCAACAAGCCATGATCAAAGCTACAAAAAACGCCACCTTTACGTCCAACCCATTGGGTCCAAATTCCTGGGGAGTGGCTCCATGACCAGCCAGCCGACCAGCCCCACGTCTACCCCAGCCTGTCGCTTCGGCCGCGGCTGTCGCGGCTATCCCGGCTACGGTCGCCTGCCGGGCATGCAGTATGCCACGGCGGACGTCGCTTCTCGCACGACGCCTCGCCGGCGAGCACCCCGACTGCGAAAGTCGCGCACATCACGGACATCGTGAAGATCCCTGCCGAGCACAGCAGCCTACCAATAGCAACACAACCACTAATACACACACACACACACACACACACATGCGCCATGGTACGAACCGGAGGTGCACCAGACATCTTCTCAATGTTCTCGCCGGGTTCAGTGCAGAACATCAAAGCGCGGCTACTTTTAGAAGACAGTAAAAGCCAAGCCAAGCGCCAAGCTAATTGAGATCCGTCGTGAGAAAGCACCAACATACGCATGATCACGCCACGCCACACACGCTGGCCCACACGCTGGCACGCCTCCTTCGATCCTCAGAACCTGTCAAAGCGCGTGCACGAGCTGCCAAGAGTGAGCTTGCCTCATTTTCTGCTTGTGGTGCCAAGTTTTCCAAGCCACAGCCTGCCTTCTCGCAGGTGCACACTGCGTGGAGGAGACTCGGAGGGTCATGGATTCGCAACATGCAGTCACCAAGCTCACAAGAACACAAGATGAAACATGCTGCATCGTCATGTTCAGCTTCCTTCCAATTGGTTGGAATTAGACGGTGCAAACACACACCACCAATCCAAACCACCAATTCGGGGTTGCCTGAATTCATACTGACCCCGCAGATCTCAAGCATTTCCGCACCAACAAGCTCCCCTGGGCCACCTGTAATTCCTGGCCTCCTTTTCAGACGGTGTGAAGGCACCAGGCATGCGCAATCAGACTGAGATCCCGACGGGTGGATAACGGCTGGTGCGTTCGTCCCACCTCGGCTCTGCTGACCGTTCCATGTGAAGGGTCATCGCACCGGCAAACTCATTCCGACAGCGTGAGAGCCTACAAACCCTGCAGCCAACAAGCCACCAACCAACCAACCACCCAGCCCTTAGTCTACAAAGGTTCAAGGAAACCAACCCCCTGTTGGTCGTCACCCTGAAGGTCAAGAAGGCCAAGCTGCCGCGACTGCCAGTCCTCAGGCCTCAGATGCCAAACCCAGGCCGCGTTGTCCGCCTCTTCGCGCAGATCAGGTGCCATGCATCAAACCGGAGAAAAATGGCGCCCAGGGCCCCGACTCCATGGGCCATGAAGCGAGGGATAAGGCTCTCGCTGTGAAAGGCCGAGGGGGCCCCACGTTTGCGACTCTGGCAGAGATTTGCGCCATTTCGCCGTTTCTGCAACGTTCCAACGAGTTGGTCAACGGGTCTGTGGCCTTGGCCTGGCAAGTTCATTTCGCAAGTTCCGGCCTTGAGCCGAAGAGGCTGCAAATGGCCGGAAGGCACAGCCTTCCCCAGGCAAAGCACTCGAGCCACACGTCCACAAAACAAAGAACTCGAGGTCCAATGATTGAAATTCCCCCTTCTCCTTGCGCCCTTTTTGAAGGGCAGCCTTCCCTGTCGCTGAGGGACCCAGATTCCCATCTCTCCGTTTTCTGACCCCCAGCACCCCGCTAAAAAACATCGCCCCGTCCGCGAAATTCGATCGCGCCCGTCCGTCTCTCCATGCCTCGAAGATGCCGCTGGAGATCTCCAGGACGGAGATATCGAAGGTCCCGCCTCCGAGGTCGTACACGGCCAAGATCTGGCCCTCCTGGCGCGAATTCCGCCGAGCGAACCGTGTTTGGCGAAACCGAAGTCGGCCGAGCGAGCAGCGAGCCACACCGAAACGGACTTTTATTGAGTTAGTTTGTTGTTCTGTTGATTTTGTTGTTGTTGTTGTTTTTGTGTTGCTTTTTATTTGTTTCTTTTCTTTTTATTTATTTTTTGGGGGGGGGAGGGGGGGTGCAGCAAATGCGCAGGATGCTCATTCCCAAGCGAAGCGTGCGGCGATTGGGCAAAACTCGGCTTTGTCCCCCAATTGAGCAGCGCCAACAAAAGACACCTTCATTGGCGATTATACCCACATGTCTTAAGATAATCAGTAGTTTATATACACCTTGCATGAGACCAGGTAGTGGAACCCAACTTGGCCAGGGGCTTCGGCTTCGGGGGCTCGCTCCATTTGGCCCGGATCGATCCGGGTTGCGGCCTGCTTCTCCATGCCAAAGGCCAGCGCGGCGGCCGTGGGCTCGTTGATGATGCGGAGCACCTCCAGTCCCGAGATCTTCCCGGCATCCTTCCTCAGATCCGGGGCGAGATCCGGGCAAGCCAAACATGCCAGGAAGGAGGAAACGGAAACACCCAGATTTTTTCCCGGCCTTGGTTGAACGGAAGCATCTTTGTTGTGCAAATGCACCTCAAGGAACAAAATGGCCACTGCACTGTGCTCAATTCAGTCCGAAACTGGAGAGTAAGCTCATACGATTGCAAATAGCTTGCCTGGACAACGTGCACCCTGCTTACCCTGGTTGTCAACTCACAGCCACTTCAACCAAAAACAATGCACCCCATGTATTTGTCATTCCCACCAGAATGCCCCCCCCCACAATCCCACATTGTAATCCCAAATCAAGCGTCAAAGCAATAAAAGTCCAGGCTTGACAAGCTCAAATTGGTAACCCCCCCCTTCAAGTTTCAAGGCAAGAAATCCTGGGCCTCTCCACTGGAAAATGCAATCATGGTCACTTTCCTATTGCAGTCCTTTTGGCCACCCCACTGAATTCCATGACCTTGTCTACCTTACGGCCGAAGGGTAGGGCCCTAACTGCGCTGAAAGCGTTCGCTTTGTGCGGAACGAAGATGCGTGGCTTGGCGCTGGGCATCATTGAAGTAAGCCGGGACAGTGATCACCGCCTGGAGCGCTCCAAACGGAGTGGGTCGACCCCCAAACGACATGGGTCTCTCGTTTGTTTTTATATATGTATGTATATATATATATATATATGTTCTTTTTTCGGATGTGTGATCCATCCCTGGGCCACTTCTCTCTCCATTTGACTTTTTCAGACTGCAAAACAACCTTGATGAGCTCCTGTCGCACCGGCGGATCTACGTAGTAGGCTAGATTCGGTGCCCCACTCTGCTCCCAAAGCAATTCGTCCTCGGTCTAGTGGGCACAAAAGCCTTTCGCATCGGCTTGGGGGCACAGCTTGCGCTCTGAAGATCTGTCGCTTCCAGTGAACGCCGCACGAGAGGCAATGCTCATCCGTTGCCCCGTTTCCCCCCGGGGCGCCTTGCCCACGTTGCGGCCCAAATAGCTCTCAGCCGTCTCCTTCCTGAGCGCTTTGAGGGGCGGGGCTTCCTGTGGGCAGCCGTGACCAATCAGAACATGCTGTGGATGGACAAAGTCCCGCAGCACCTCAGAAACCATTTAAAAAAAAAAAAGAAAAAAAGTGTTTGTTGGCATTTACAGGGAAGAATCATTTTTAGGTTTCCTGGGTGGTGCAGGATTCGTCCATCCACAGTACTTCAGCAGCAGCTGAGCCTGCTGTTGTAGTCATGATTCTGCCCTCTAGAGCTTTTTGGGCTGACTTGCCACCTCTGCTTTGAAGTCAGTGTGAGCCGAGCATCATTTTGCCCAAGACGAAGGCGCCGATCTGGCTCGGGGAGTACTTCTCGCCGTTTGCCTCCACCCAAGCGTCACCATTTGGCGCCTGGCGGCCGCGGAGCTTTTTTGGAAAAACAACAAGTGTCACACAAGTTGACTGCCTCACATGGCGGATTTGGACAATACTGGTGTAAAGTCAATGGCAGCCTTCACGATGTGGTATGGCAGGATATTCTTGTCTTTCTGCGTTGCCGGCTCGTCGTAGGTTCGCCCAATTAGGCGCTTGGCTGCAAAGATGGTGTTCTCCTTGGTGGGTCACTAAAATCAGATTGACAGTCGCATGTAATCTCAGGTTTCATTTGCGGATTGATCAAAAGGCCCTTTGCATGGGATGACCCTTGGGTGGAAAGCCACGAAAAACATTATGTTTGGACATGGGCAAAGGTACCCATGGTCAAAACTGCGGGCCGACTTAAGTGAATATTGATCAACCCTCCCCCCCCCATTTCTGCACCAAAGGTGTCACTTTTGATAAATAAGACTGGGTGTCCATCTAAACGGATGGCCTAAAATCCATTTCTAAACCTGTGGCTCACCCGCATCGATCCCTCTGCCTTCGGCTCCCGAACCGAAAATTTCGCTCCGCGGTGGCGAACGCCGAGCCGCTGGGTTGGTGACCGCCTGGCGCTTCGCGGGGATGCCCACCAGCCGCTGGTCCCCGCTGAAGCCCACGATGGAGGGAGTCGTCCGCATGCCCTCGCCTCATGACTCGCAGGACTCCAGAAATTGATTCCTCGTCCAGTCTTTGGTAGATTGGTAGACACAAGATTGGTATGATTCTGACTTTGTAACTCTAGCCATTTTGGTGAAATGCCAGGATGACATGAAAATGGCAAGGTTCTAGGGGTCCATTCCCTGTTCAGCCCTCGTTCTTTTCAAAAACCGGATCCGTTTCCCCTGTGGTTTTGGATGGGTTCCTGAAAAGAATGATCCCTGGAAAGAATGGGGAAGGTACCCCTAGAATGACTCGCAGCTTGGCGGTTGGGCGGATTGCCGGTTTGCTTCACAGAACGGACCCAAGCAAAGAGGTGTGTGTCTCAACAGGGAAGCCCCCCAACATTGGTCTTTAATTTGAAGCCAACCCCAAAAGGGGTAATTACCCGCCAAACACCAAAAAAGAAAAACAGACTCCGCGGCCCCTTCCGAAGCACGCCAGGGCACTGTTCTCAATGACCTTGGGCGAGCTACCCTCCATGAGCGCGACGCCTCACCGAACGAAAGCTCCCGGGGCAAGGTCTCATCCTGTTGCCGGCTGGCCTTGCAAGTGCCTATGCGCCTGCCCCGCCCCTCTCCCCCCAAACAATGGCCAATTCCCTCGGAGAGCTGCAGCCCCCAAGCGGTTCAACCTACAACCCTTTACCGACAGACTCCGCGCCTGCAAGCGGCAAGCGCAATGAGCCCATTTTCAAGATCTCACCCATGAAAGCCTTGCCAAACAGAACCCATTGACTTTTGGTTCCAGCACCATCACCCATGCTACAGGTGTATTTCTGTGCCCTACAAACCCCATGGAAGGAGCAAGACCCACCATGCTCAACGGGAATCGACTTGTGCGATCTCGGCGCAGGAGTTCGTGGTGCCCAGGTCAATGCCAATGATGTCGCCCCGCCGGACCCCGCTTCGGGTCCTGAGCTTGAACCAGAGTCCGGCGAAACGCCGACAAGCAACCAGGAATTGGATCCCCCCTATCTCGTTATAATGTCAGAAATCAAAAATATGTTCTACAAAAACACCCTCAAGAGATAACTAAAGATATCTCTGGGAGAGCAAAGGACCCACATGAGCTCGTTTTGCCCGAGCTCGCCCTATGGGCAGATCATAGCCAACACGTTGCGAGAGAGTTGAGAGAGGGCACGCTGAAAGTCCGTGCCGTTGTCCAAAAGCAGGGCAAGCCTGTGTGTGTGTGTGTGTGTTTGGGTGTTTGCGTGCTTGCGCGTTTGTGCATGTGCGTGTTTGTGTCTGCGTGCTTGTGTTTGTTGCTTTGATTTCTTGCTTGCTCCACTGCCTGCGTGCCTGTTGCGAGGCCAAATCATGTTTTTCTGGAAAGAAGGATCCTTGGAAAGAATCGACGGACGTGTCCCCTAGAAAGGCGAGATATACTGCGGGAGCCGGTCCAATCACTGCGGTCGGGTCTCAGGAAGCTGCGCTGCGCTGCACGGCGCGTCACTGCGGTGGTCGGCCGCATCATCCTGGAAGTCTCAAAGTCGCTCCCTCTATGAGATGCGCAACTGCTGCGTAGCTTTGGCTTGCAGCACAGCATATATATATATATACATATATGGGTCGAGACCATTTCGGCCGCGAACAGTTTGCTCTGGCCTGTTTCGGCCGCGATCATCTCCCCCGGCCTGTTTCGGCCGCGAACATCTCCCCCGGCCTGTTTCGGCCGCGAACACTTTGGAACGCTGAAAATGCAAAGTTCGAAACCGTCCAAACGATCGAAAAGTTCAAAAAGATCGAAACGTTCTTCGAAACATTCCAGACGTGCGAAAAGTTCGAAAAGTTCGGCGCGTTCCAAACTATTGAAACGTTCCAAGCGTTCGAAAAGTTCGAAACGATCGAAACGCTCGAACCGCGCTCGAAAAGTTCTAAAAGAGCGAAGCTTTCCAAACGTTCGAAGCGTTCGAGAAGTTCCAAATTTTCGAAACGTTCCAAGCCTTCGAAAAGTTTGAAGCTTTCCAAAAGTTCGAACAGTTCCAAACCGCAGCGCTTCCTCGACTTTTTGCTTTTTACGACTTTAAAGAACGAAAGGCTATACCTGCAATGTCCCGGCTAGGGAACCTCGACCAAAAGAGACGCCAAAGGCGGAAAAATGGAAATCTCCAAAAGAGTGGACATGGTGGAAGTTCAGCTTGCCACAGGGTCCTGCGCATGTAGATCAAATGTTTCAGTAGCCCGCTGATCAGGCGATGTTACATGGGAACCCGTCATATGTGCTTTTGGACACACTACATGTAGCAGTATGCGTGTTCCTGACCGCGCAGCCCACTGCCATCCTTGAACGGCACGCTTGGCAAGGTTTGAACACAAATTCAGCGACAACTTTTCAGTCAAGATATCGGCAGCCCTGGCTTCAGAAAAAAAAGCGCACGCTCTGGACAATGACATGACCGTGAACAACCCGTGGAGGCCAGAAAAGGGTGTGGAAAGGCTATTCAAAGCATGGAGATGGCTGTGCTTCGTACGCTGGGCGGGTGGTGCGCGGAATCGTTTCCGATTTCTTCTCGGTTGACGCTGCATTATTGAGGCTCAAGTCATGTCACCGCCTCGGCTGAATGCCTCTATGAAAAACATATTGACGAAACACGGGCACGCAAGGTCCCTCTAAATAGAATGTTAAGCCAATGCGCACAGCAATGCTATCTACTTCAGGCAGCCAAATTTTATTTTTTAGCATTGGCAAGTTTAGCCAATGGGATGAAACATGCTACTACGTGTCCCCAGGAAAGAAAAACGGCACGCAAGCTTCCAAAGGTATTCGCAGCATAAACGCGCAGCGTGTAGCCTCTATCCAACTTATGGTTGAGCAAACTCGACCATACTTTGGACCACTTTTGGGAGACCAGGGAACACGTAGATGATGACCACTTCGGTACCAGAAGTGTCATTCTTGAAGCATTTAGGGCCAGGCTCGGCAAAAAACGGTCTAGCTACATCGAAAACTCTTTTTTATGGCCATTGAAAGGCTAGGGAAACCCTCGAAAAGTTCGCAACCTTCCAAACGTTCAAAACGTTTAAAAAGTTCGAAACTTCGAAACGTTCGAAAAGATCGAAACGTTCGAAAAGATCGAAAAGTTCGAAACGGTCGAAACGATCGAAAAAGTTCGAAAACTTCGAAACGGTTCCAAGCGTTCAACAACGTTCCCAGCGACCAAAGCATGTCACAGAAACTTGTTCAGCCGAAACAGGCCAGGGCAGTGTTAGCAGCCGAAACAGGACAGGAGCAATGTTAGCAGCCGAAACGGTCGCAGAGGCAACGTTAGCAGCCGAAACGGTCGCAGCTATATATATATATATATTATACCGAAAATACATATATATATATATGTATGTATATATACATATCCTTTTTTCGTTGGGCCTCGGAAGTGCTCAATAAATGTCCCAATGGCAGTTGCCTGTGTTCAACTTGCGCCCAAAAGCTCAAGCCGGTCCTGGACAACATGCTGTCGGCTCTTTGTGCAAGCGGGTTGCTTTCCAAAAAACTTGAGCCGCGCCATGCCATGCGACCTAGAGTGTCACCAAGAGAAGCGGGGCGAGCGCACCCCCGCCCACGACGCTGATTGCACACTTAGTCCATGTGTTCTTCTTTGCACTCACTTGCCGGGAAAAGATTGGTGCTGCATCTCCGTGCCAAGTAAAACGCCATCCTCGCAATGGCACGAGCAGGTCGGCCACATATTGCAGGACTGGCGGAGGGTTTGGTCACTTGGCCCGGCATCCCACTGGCAGGAGCGCGGCAGCACCAACTTCGCCCTCTGCCAAATCCAAAAAAGCTTCATACAAACTGAGAATCTACTCACTGAAAAAAATGGTCAGGCAACGGCTTCATGACCTGAGTGTCATTTTGCATCATGGGATTGGTCGGTGATGTCCTGCCCTCGCGGTGAGTGATGCAAGCCCCCAATTTGGTGAAACCTGGAACGCGGCTTGGCCGCTCCAATGCTGGATTGCCGCCATTCAACTCAACAAGCGGCACCAACTGCCGCTGTAAGATATCGAAGGCCAATGATTTCGCAACTTCACCCGAATCGTACAAACGGTTGATGCTTCTGAGCCATCTGAGCACAAGCTCCGCCCTTCGGGCGGAGCTTAAAGAAGTCAGCGATGCTGGGCGAGTGACATTCACACTCCTGCTTTGCTGTAAAAAAGGCTCAGGGCGATTGCGCAAACAAGTTGCACACTTGGCGGCCAAGTATAACTACCTGGCCCGACCTTCTGCGGATTCTCACAATCGAGCAGGCAAGATGAAGCCATGATAGCCGAACAATGCGCTCCCCACGCCCAAGATGAAACATGCGACCCGCCTGAGTGAGGTCTGAAAATTCCAAGCGCAGCAAGTCACGACATGTCAACCAACCGCCAGCTCTGTTTCTTTTTGCATGGCTTCATCCCCATGTTTTCCTCTCCGCTCAGAGAGCAGGGGAAAAAAGCCGCACAGGTTCTCCCTCATTCAAGCAATGGCGGCTCCTGGCAATCGGCATGCTTGACGAATCTGATATGTCAACAGGCGGGTACTTGGGACCAGGTCGCCATCACCAGAAAGAACCCCCTGCATGAGCTCTCCCATATAGACCATATAGAAACCACTCGGACAAATCGCCGCCTCATCTGAGCTGTCGTCGCTGGATTTGACCTCCTCGAACGCCGCCTCATAAAAGGCAGGTGGATACGAATGAGACTGGCAGCACACGTGATGATGTGCTGGTTGAGGCCGGAACTGCACGTTCTTCCGCGTGCAAAGGCATGTGGGGTGACTCCACCTGTGGCATGCCGGCTGGATTAACCGTTCCAGGCTGAGAAACAGCAAGTGGCACCTCGCGCTGGGGCAGTACACCTGAGTTCAATGCGACGTCGCTGCAGCTGTGGGGACTGAGCTCTTCAAACGTTTGGCGTGTCACTAATGACCTCCCCGCGGTTCGTGTTTTGGCCTTCGTATTAAATCACCCACGCTCTAGTCCCGGAAATCTCGTGTCCTGACTCTCCTTCATCTCTCTTTCTCTCTTTCTCTCTCTCTCTCTCTCTCTCTCTCCCTCTCGCTCTCTCTCTCTCTCCCTCTCTCTCTCTCTCTCTCTCTCTCTCTCTTCTGGCTGTCGTCCAGGCTACAAATGAATCACTTCATCCTTCAGTGTCGAACCCAAGTTGCCAGAACACGTCGACGGAAGCCACGGACCAACTCCCCAAAGAGGGCCAATCGCCCGCCGCCGATTTCGCCAGGGCACTGCCGGTATCGCAGGCCATCGGCGAGTCCTTCCCCGGCCTCCGGAGCCAGCGGCGCGGCGCGCGGAAACCCATGCGAGCCATCGGGCCCCTGACACGGGGCCCCTGACCCCCAATTACACACACATACGCGCAAAAACAAGCACGCGCACACACACGCAAACAAACAAACAAACAAACAAACAAACAAACAAACAAACAAACAAACAAAAACAAGCAATCCTTCTGGGAAAGACTGAAATCATCATTTTTAGAGGTGCGTGTAGGAGAAGCTTTGTGAGTCAAGCTGACTTTGCTGCCAGGGAGCTCCTTGCAAACTTCCAGTTGCACCTCAGCTGCAGCAAAGAGAGTCCATGCTCTTTTAGGGCGATCGATTCAGTACAGGCAAGTGGTGAAGCAATTAAGCCTCACTTACCCACCCACCAGGTAACATGGGCTGGTGCACAAGCCCATGTAAGACTACTTTCCTCTTGGTTAGTTGGCCTTTTTGCACAAAGGGAGGGTTGACGTTGGGTTAGGGGAGCAAAAAATCAACAAAAAAAAAAGAGTAGCAGTGAAGTGGATTTGGATTCCAACCACTAAGCCACCAGCAGAAATGGGAAAATGGTGTCCCAAGCCGCTGGGAGCCCCGCGTCCCGCTTCTCGGGCTCCGGAAGTGGATCACCTGAGGGACCAACTTGCGGGGCTCCTTGGGGTTTTGGTGGAATCCCCCTAGAATACCAAAAGACTCCGAAAAGCATCTGTTTTTTTGGGTTTTCTGTTCTTTTAGGACCAACCAGGGGAAAAAAAGGGGGTGAGAGCCACAAAAAGCGGAACTCCGGACCCTTTTCCACCTATGGGTCCCGAAACCGGATCACATCAGGGTTGCCCCCTTCGAGAGCCATCGGAACCCGCTGAAGGTGGATGGATCCAAAGGGTCCCCCTGACCTGCGCTTCTTTTTGACGGGGAAGCCGTCCGCAGACAACAAGCGCCGCATTGCTGGCCATGCTGCTGGGGCTGCTGGGGCTGTCAGGGCTGTCGGGGGGCTCGACGAAGGCTTCCACGCGTTTCGGCGGTCGTTGCAGCCGTCGGCAAAAGCGCTTCACTGCGCGCCACCTCAGCGGCGTGTCCTGTTCCGCCTCTGTGGCTCGGCGTGCTTCCCTTTGGAAGCTTCTCCCTGTCTCTATCTCTCTCTCTCTATATCTTCTCTCTCTATCTCTATCTCTCTCTGGCACACTCGCTCTTTCCGCTTGCAACAAGGAGCTGCTTGTGAAGGCCAAGCCCTCCCTTCATGGATGCCTCAGCATACGGCCCACAAAAGCCTTCTCTAAGACAGGTTCATCAGCCACGCAAATCTCCGAAGATCGTTAAAAGGCGTTCGGCTTCCGGAAATGCGGAAAACGTCGAGCGCCGGCCTTGCGGGAGCAATATGTGGGGTTTTTTGAGAACCCCCCCCAAAAAAATAAAATAAAATAAAATGTGGGCTTCCCGGTGGTTTTCCCTTTCAAGCCGCCAAAAAAGGGGCCCCCAACCGCCGGGCGAAGCTCAGCTAGAGAGCTACGGTCCCTTTGGCGTCCGAGGCCGAGGGGCGATTTTCCGCTTGGACCTCACCAAGTCGAAGGCCTTCTCGGGCTCTAAGCCTTGATAGCCTTGGTGGGGGAGGGATGGGGAGATGGGGGATGGGTGCCCTGAAACTGGTTCAGTGAGAGGAGTGGTTGTGGTTGGGGTTCATGGGGATGGGGGGCGCTTCCATCCACCCACTCACACCTACAAAATCCTCACCCCAGCCACACACGGATACAATGCGCCGAGCAGCTCGCCAGGAAGCAGATGACGCACACCGCACTGCGGCCCCTTCCACCGTTGCAGTGCACATATACACCGACGCCTGGCGAAGCGGCACGGGAGCCAAGCGGGCAAGGGACTGGAGCATTGCTACAAATACATATGTGCTACATGTGTTGTCCGTATACGCACATATGGACCTCTATATGTACATGTATACGTCTAGGTATATGTACATGTATATGTAAATGTATATGTAAATGTATATAACATGTATCTGCAAATGTATATGTAGTGTATGTGTGTATTTGTTTCTTTGTTTCTTTGTTTGTTTGTTTGTTTGATTGCTTGCTTGCTTGCTTCCCTGCTTTGTTGGTTGGTTGTTTGCTTGCTTGCTTGCTTGTCTGTGAGTTTGTTTGTTTGTTTGCTCGTTTTGTTTATACACATACCTACAAACACACAAGTACGTACGTACGTACATACATACTTACATACAAATGATGCATGCATGCCGCTCTCTCTCTCTCTCTCTCTCCCTCTCTAGCGCCACCCCGCAGGTCCCAAAATTCAAGCTTGTGGTCCGCCGCAGCACCCCCCCAAAAAAAAAAGCAAGTCGTGCCAGCACCTATCCCAAAGCCGATGACTCCCCGAAGCGCCGAAGCCCCGCGCCTCTGTTGGCATGCTCCGTGATAAACTGCACAGCTTCCTGCCCACATGCTGGTTTTTGCGTGGTTGGGAAGGGAGCGGATGCACGCTGGGAACCAGCCGGCACTGAATGACTAGCCGGTAGCAACATCCTTCACAGTGAAGCGATTGGAAGCGCACAGGATTGTGCGCTAAGCACAGGAGCGGCCCATCGAGTGGTATGGCATGGCGGCTGAAAAGCTGGACACATTCCCTGACCATATCCTGGATCTGCTGCTGCTGCGGAGCGAAGAAGTCGGGAGTGGGAAGATGAAGGTGCTTCAGGCCACACTCCCTGGCTCCGGAAAGGCCAATGCCATCCAACCAGAAACACGAGTGCTGAAAGCCTGGGGAATCCATATGATTTCCGTGCTTGTTTACGGGACCCCCGAAAATGAATGGTTGTCCTTTTGGTTTTCCTTCAAACCAATCCCAAACAGGCAAAAACCCCGTATGCGCATCTCATGTTGCCGGTGTCAGCCCTTCACTCTGGGAACCCGGCTTAACGTAGAGGTTGGACAGCTCCATCTCCCATGGCTCATTGAGAGTAACCTGATCGCGCCCGCATGCTTGCCATGTTGGCTGCTTTCCGCATGCATTCGCAAGCTGTGCCACCTCCAAAGAGGAGAAACTGTCACAGGTGTCTCAAACAGAGGGGGTGCCCACAAACATGTTGGTCTCCTGTGGGTTTCCCTTTGAAACCAAAACGGATACCCCCCATTAAAAAAAAAAAAGGACGAGCCACCGTCGCCATGTCATAAGCTCCCAAAAAGGACCGTCACCAGTTGGGCCAAGGCGCCATGGCTCCGACCCCGGCTTTCTTTAGGCCCTCCAGATCTCTAAGGCTCCGTGGCAAGCCTCAAGCAAAGCGAGGCTGCCAAGCCCGACTTGGAAGGTACGAGAGGCATCACCGAGCCAGGGTTTTGGCTGAATGAACCGGTTGGGGATCCCCGGAAAGGAAACCAGAAGGAATTGTTAGGGGTCAGTCCAACTCGTTCCAGCTGCAAACCAGCAAGCAGTTGGCGCACAACGTTCTGCAGGCTTCCCGTTCCAGCCAAGCAGCTGCCAAGGTAGAGGCAGTCCGCGATCTGCAGAAAACATTGGCTGAAGCCCCCCCCCCCCATCGGTCGGCAGGCAAAAACTAAGTAGGTGCAACACATGCAGCTCTCAAGCAGGCAAAGCTCACTTCGGCTGAGTCGAAACATCCACCAAAACCAGCACCAGCACGTCATGCCTTGTCGAAGGAGAAGGTGCTCCGTTTCTTCGCTTTTCGTAGCAGGTAGGAGCAAATGCCTAAGCGAAACTGCCTCTCACTCAAACCTTCCCCTGGCGAAGAGCACTTCTGGAAGCCACTGGAAGCGGTTTCGCACATTGGGATCGGGTAGATCCGGCGGATTGCCAAAATCCGGCTGGCACTTTGGTAGCGATGGCTAACTTCGGATTGATCCAGGCCCGAGTCAGAAACTGCTCCCTGGTCGGGAAGCAAAGCGGCAGAGTTGCGGAAAAGTCATTCCCACGACCACTTTATCTCTTAAGGCATTCCCTTATCACAGAAAAGGGCAAGCAAAACAAAAAAAACCTGCTTTGGGCATGCTTGGGCCCCCCCCCACGCCCCATGAGGAAATGAAATCCATCCGAAGCCAACCGTTGCCGGCCAGGCAGCTCTGTACCCTCCGCGGGCCGCAGCCAGTAAGTGTAACGAAGCCCAGGTAGCAGGGGAAAAGGACCTGAGCCCACGGTTTCATAGGAAAATCCCGGGAAAATAAAATGGCCTCTCCTTTTCTTGACCAGGCGCCCCTTTCTTTGTGGCTTGAAAGCCATTGTCCGGGGGGGTCCCCTTTAAACGGAAAAAGGGGGGGGCACTGCTCTGTGAGGTTTTGAGGGTTGCGTGTCCAAAAGCTCCAAGGCGCCAGAATGAAGGCAATGGCCAAGGCCAAGAACCCAAGCGCCACAAGGTCCTGGCGGCCGCAAGTCGGCCGAAACGACGGTAAGGTCACTCCCCGCCCCCCGTTGGCGGCTGACTTTGAGGCTGTTTTTGGAGTTGGTTCCCCTTGAGGGGAGGAAAACCACAAACAAAGCCACCAGTTTGGGCCAGCTAAAAGATGACCATGTCAAGACCTCTGGGCAGGCCATGTCACCCCAACAAGTAGGTAAGCTCAAGTTGAAAACAACCCCAGCCCAGAAGCCACAATTTAGGGCCCTAGTATTCCCTAGCAAAGAGGACGACCAAACATGAGGCACGAGCTTGCTTCCCCTCCTGCGGGCTCAGCCTCTCCAGCATTCTCTCAATGTCCGGCTCTTGGCCTTTCGAACGCGCGCAGTAAACCAATCTCAACCAATTCCGGCCGTGGTCCAAATTGGGCAACCCAAAAATGGCTCGCACTTGCTTTTGGAGGCAAAAACTGAAGAAGAAAGAACCTGTCCAACTCCTGGTGGCTCAAGGCCCATCTGTCTTGATACCCAGCCCCACCTTCCCGAAGCAGGCTTCAGGTCATCGGAAGGAGGGAAGGCTCACGGCAAGCCGACCCAGAAAGGCTGAGAGCTGTAAGTATTTCTGTGAAACAGGCCATCCGTGTTCTGGCCGTTGTTCCATTGCAGGACTGGGAGAGAACTGGTAAAAACTGGGGTGCTGTGCGCAAGCGCAGCTGTTCGCTCCGTGTCTCGCTGTCTCTCCTTGCGATTCCGATACTGCAAAGCCACCATGGCTGCCATCGCAAGCCCTCATGTCAAACTGGCCTCAGTATTGTACCATGATCAAAGTCACCCCATAAGTGGTGGGTTAAAACCCCAGGGAGGAAGAAAAAAAACAGAAACCGTCAAAATAATGACTCCAGTCAAATGCCCAGCAATTCTTGAGCGGCAAGGCTTTAACACTCCCAAATGGGTGTGGCCCAATATTTAAGACCTAGGGTTACGCGGGTGTTGGTCTTTGTTTCCATTCACCTCCACTTCCCTAGGGACCATTTTGGGTACATGTTTTGAGCCACTCCCAAATCGTTTGGGACGCATAGCCAGCCACCGCAGAACCCTTGGCCGGTTTCCGAATTTTCGCGCAGGAAACAACTCGGCCACCTTCCCTCGCTGCGACGCAGCTTGGCCCCTGCGCGATTTCCGCTGGCAAGGGGGCCCCCTTCCGGTGAAACAAAGTGCAAAGCCCTTCCAACGTTTGTGGTAAGGCACACGTTAGACCTCCGCCGGGAGTGGCAGGGTCCAATTGGCTTTCTCCTCCTCGGCACATCTGACAAGTCTGATTGGGAGAATTTGCCAAAGTAGTTTCGGATCGAGGCTCCTGCCTGCAGATGCACCCCTCTCGGCGCGGCAACGGTGCTGTGCCCCTTTGCGGCCAAGGAGCATCAGTGCCCAGTTTCAGCACCACATCCCCCCACATCCTCGGCTCGGTTTGGCTGAACAGAAGGAAGCGACGGACCTAGCTGCGGCATCTGCAGCGCACGCGTGAGCAATTTGTGCCACTCGACTTGTCCAGGCTAGTCCGGCGAAGCTTCTGCCGCAAGAACTCGAGAAGAAGCTCGTGTCGGTCTACCAGCGCCTGTGCATAGGCGAAACTGAACGACCGCGCCCGAGGTAAGGGTCTTCACTTTTGAACAACAATCCGGGCTTTGCACATCCTACAGGAACTTGAGAAGAGTGCTGACCGACGGGCGAGGTGGCTGCGGCTTCAAGGGGGTTCGCTTGGGGGGGATGGCATTGCAAGGAACGCAAGAACCATGCGGTTTGTCTTGCTTTGGATCAGTGGTGACTGTCAGTGTGGGGCAGGGTTCAAGGGATTTCACCTGCCTAATCGTGAACAGCATGCCAAAGAACGCAAGCACTCATCATTCATGTGCTTGCTGTGTAACAAACGATATAAAGGTAAATGTGTTTGACCGCATTCACACAGCCAGTGCTTCAGCCAGGGCACAAACAAGTCCATCTGCCACCGGGAGAAGATTTGACGTGTCACCGACGCATGAGTGCGGATGAGCGGCCTCGCCACAATAAAGGGCAAACGCTCAATCGCTCAGCATTCGCAAAAATACCCCCAGTTTGCTGTCTCAATGCTGTCTCACGATGCAGTACTTGCAAAGCCAACAGCTTCGGGCAAACAAAGCTTGTTATGATCCAAGCCAAAACCAAGGTCAAAAACTGCCAGTTTCAGCAGGCGACTGAGTCTGGTTTAAAATATCAAGATGTGCGGCGTTGCGACTTCTCGAAACTAGCATGAAGAATTCAAGCGAAAGCTGAGCACTCTGCAGAGCTGACATCACCTCGCTCACCGGGAAGAGCTGGCTTTCGGCAGCACAATCCCTGCCACAGGGATTGAGAAAGGGCTTGGCATGTGCTAGCACCGCTCATATCCATGATTGTTTTTCGGCATAGTGTGTGTGTGTGTGTTGTTTTTGTTGCTCATCTGCTTCCATGTTCAATTTACTTTCAAATGCAGCTCAAGCTCTCAAGCGCGCCCGGGGAGCGCGATGCGTGCACGCACCCAGGCCAAGCTCAGGCTGTCCCGGCCGCCTGCCTTGCGGCTTGCGAGCGGGACGCTTTCGCGGGTTGAAACGCGGGCCGGGCGTGCTCAAACCATCCGGATGGGTGCGAAATCCATTTCGCACCAAGAAATTTTGGAATGATATGATTTCCTTTTAAATGGCAGCAAACCATGGTTGCAACCATGGTGTCCAAGTGGTGCAGGATTTCGCCCATCCACGGTATGGAAGAACTGCACTACACAACGCTGTCATTGAGCCCTTCCCAGTAACAAGTCTTCACTATTCATCGGCGCGATTTGTTCGCAACCCCTCATCTCCCAATTTTTAACCTAGATTTAGGCCTTACTAGTTAAATTCTAAACCAACATGTTCTCTGCCCGTATTCGCGGGGCAACTCACAACACAGACCCCTCCCGAAGCAATCCCTCCTGTTTGTTGAGCGGGGGGTGGGGGGGGGGGGGGCATCTGGACAAGAATCGATGCCGTTGGACAATCTGATAAATATCATAAAAAGAATATTGGACTACTAGAGTACACATCCTGGAGTGTACCCCTGAAATAATACAAATATAAACCAAATATAATTACAGAAAATACATGTCTGCCTGCTACCCTGGAAAGAAAAACCTGGCCGTCGTCAAACAGAATACGGTCTTCCACATGCCCAGGTGCCTCCTTCTGCAGCAGCGAGTAAAGCTGCTCCAGTGTCCGCAGCCTCCCGACGGAAATCCTCAGACAACCGCGCTGACACGGGTCACATGAATGGATGAGTCGTTTGCTAGACCCCTTTTTCCCAAAAGCATCTCTGATGCTTGGGTTCTGCTTTAGGTTTTCTCTTAAGGTGCCTGGGAGCGATACAAGCTGTGACGACGGAGATAAGAAGGGATTTCCATTTCGTTGTGCTGCAGACCGGGCGTGCGATGCCGGCTGGGGGTGCAGACCGGGCACGCGAGGCTGGCTGGGGGGACGGCGGCGCGGGCTGGCTGGGGGGACGGCGATGTGGTGCAGACTGGGTGCGCGAGGCTGGCTAAAAACCGCCCGCGAGCGAGACTGGCGCGGTGGACGCTCGTGACACATGCGGAAACCGCCCGCGAGCGAGACTGGCGCGGTGGACGCTCTTGACATGCGGAAACCGCCCGCGAGCGAGACTGGCGCGGTGGACGCTCGTAACATGCGGAAACCGCCCGCGAGCGAGACTGGCGCGGTGGACGCTCGTGACATGCGGACACCGCCCGCGAGCGAGACTGGCGCGGTGGACGCTCGTGACATGCGGAAACCGCCCGCGAGCGAGACTGGCGCTGTGGACGCTCGTGACACGCGGAAACCGCCCGCGAGCGAGACTGGCGCGGTGGACTCTCGTGACATGCGGCAACCGCCCGCGAGCGAGACTGGCGCGGTGGACGCTCGTGACATGCGGAAACCGCCCGCGAGCGAGACTGGCGCGGTGGACGCTCGTGACATGCGAAAACCGCCCGCGAGCGAGACTGGCGCGGTGGACGCTCGTGACATGCGGAAACCGCCCGCGAGCGAGACTGGCGCGGTGGACGCTCGTGACATGCGGAAACCGCCCGCGAGCGAGACTGGCGCGGTGGACGCTCGTGACATGCGGAAACCGCCCGCGAGCGAGACTGGCGCGGTGGACGCTCGTGACATGCGGAAACCGCCCGCGAGCGAGACTGGCGTGGTGGACGCTTGTGACATGCGGAAACCGCCCGCGAGCAAGACTGGCGCGGTGGACGCTCGTGACATGCGGAAACCGCCCGCGAGCGAGACTGGCGCGGTGGACGCTCGTGACATGCGGAAACCGCCCGGGAGCGAGACTGAATAGAACATCCAACAATGGGGCACTGAATAAATAGAGTTTGCCAAGCCAACATCGTTGTGCTAAGTAGGGTGATTTCTTGAGCTGTTGCCATTTTTCCAGCATTGGACGTGGATAGAGGGACCTTTTTAGCTTGACGTATATTTGTCCAACATCCTCCTGTGCATTTCCATGATTCTTCGAAAGGGGGTAGGGTCACTTTGTTATGCTGCCCTGTTGGTTTTGACGGAGCCATGTTATGACTGGACTGTGCGCATTTAGCGGAACATCTTTAAATGCCTGTCTATGATCCCTGTTAGGTGTTCTTTTAGGGAACACGGTGCTGGTGCACAACAAGTGTTTCGACTTTCTTGATCGATCCACTCTGGAAGCATTCGGGATGCCTCAGCTCTTTGGTGTAGCAGGCAGACCAAATGGATGGTGCGCTGCGAAAATGGCTCACAGGAAACGGTCACTGGTTCTTCTTTGTTGCCCCCAAGATGTTGGAGCTTCAGTCTGGGACAAACACGTCTGGGCCACAAACACGAGCTCAGATGGGTGTAGAGCGAGCTTACGCCTTGCTTCCAATTTGGTAGTGGTAGTTTGTGCGGATCCATTTTCGGATTTCTGCGATTGGTTCTTCATGATGAATCAGATGACTTCGTGCCTTCCATGTAGTGCGGGGCGTGTCATGTTTCACCCGCGCCTTTGCCTTTTTCTCTGTGCTTGGTCAGAGCACAGGCTGCTGGCTGCCAATCCGGCTTGAGTCGCGGTTGCTCCCCTTCTTCATCTGTTTTGGGGTTGATTTCCCAACTGTGAACAACTTAAATCTTGGTTTGCCTTCGGACCCTTGAGCCGGAAAACAACGGGATCCACATGCCATGGGGAGTGAGGCTGGTTTGCTTTTGGGTTCCCGGGCTCCTCTTGTTTTGTTGGGGGCGGGGGGGTCCCGTTTAAGAAAATGACACACTCACATGTCATGCGCGCGCTGTCAGTCGAATGCAGAGACTTCGACTCGGCAAGCCACTCCCCACGCAGCGCATCCAAGAAGGCATCCACATCGATGATGGGCTCGTCAGCGCCAGGCCACCTGAACCATCAGCATGAAAAAAGCAACCCACGGTCAAAACTGGGGGCCGAAGGGAACATTGATCAACCCACGTTGGGTGTCTTTTCCCGGGGATTTCAGGACCCTGTTTTGTTGGAGGCTACCCAGTGGCCTATTGGGCGGATACCCCAAAACATGGCGCAAGGGTTTTGGCTGGCGGCATGCCCCACACGCACGCCCCAGAGCCCGCCCACACGCATCCACCCAAATCCAACCCGAAACCTGCCCAAAACCCTCGGGGTTTTGGGGAGCCAAGGCTCGTGGCAGAGAAGATGTCCACCACATGTTGCATGTCCTCGGGTCAAGTTTCGCGGGCGTCCTCTCTTCGTCTACGTTGGATGTCCTTTCTCCATCCCCCTTGGGGGATTCTTCTGGCAGGCCTGGCGCCTTCACGCAATCGGATCTGAGTTCCCCACCGCCTCGCTGACGCAAAGCCCATAGCTGCACCGCAGCGTGGCTTCAACCTCAACCCGAAAGGGGACGAACAGGTGTCATTGGGTCGGTCTCAAGGGGAACCCCCAAAATGGCAACGGTGTCCTTGTGGCCTTTCTTTTTTCCGCTGTAAAACCCGCCACTTTTGGAGGGCTCCCCAAAAAAGACACACCCACATTGCAGCCTTGACGAGGCGATCTTGGCACTGGGGTGCCCACATAAGATTTGCCAACCAGGATGGGTTCCTCCACCGCATCTGCCGCCGGCTCTCGCATGCCCAGGCGCGGCTCGGACAAAAGCCGGTCCTGCAAGAGCACGCGGAACATCAAGGACATGCGCCATGGTCAAACTTACTGTCGGGTTCAGAAGCACATGAGGAATATGGTGAGCCTGGGTGTGGGAAACTTGGCCTTCCCCATGTCCCGTAAAGGATAGACTTCCCATATCCCTTTTGAACTCATGACGCCTTCTTAAAAAGATGTGCATGTGTGGCCGCGACCTCGCGCAATTCTGGATGGAACCAGCTCTCCTTCGACAGGATCTTGCGAAGAGTGCTGAAGGCGCAAACCTGGCAAGCGTTTCTCGTCTCATCGCCAAGCCCAAGGATGCTGGCTTAGGTCCAGGCTTCTCGCCGACGGCGCAAGCGTTCAAGAACTGCTGACCTGGCAGATAAACAAACTCACAGCTGGGCTGTGAATTCAAGTAAAGGCCCGCACGGAAGTTCTGTCCGGCCGCGTTTCACAAAAAAATATTCGCCATCGGAAGGCATGAACTCGAGCCTCCTCAACCCGAAACAACCGGATGGAACAGTCCCCTCCGGACCTGAGCCCACTCCAGCGCGCAAAGCCGGTGGCATTGACGCTCGCTGGCACTGGGCCTGATGGCTTCGAGCTGACTCGCCAAGTCTTCGCCACATCGCAGGGGAAAAAGTGTTCAAAAGACCTGCAAACATCATGAGGTGCAGTCTGAAAGCCCGCATACCTGAGACGCCGAGCCCAAGTGAGGCCATCTCATGGCATTGTCTTGAATTGAGGTGAAGTACTCGTACCATCGAACAGCGCATCTGCTCCGGTTGCATGCCACGGCGCCGTCATACACCAGGCGTTGCAAGAACCTGGGTGATCTGCGGCAAAAAAAACACCCGAAATGCGGGAAAGCACAATGCAAACTTAGTTCAAGCTTACCCCACAAGTGAGTTCTATACATCCGCCCTGCGTGCTCCTATCCCGCTGGAATACACGCGTGTCTAAAAAACAGGCCACAACCCCCAAAAGCGAGCTCTTTCCTGCAATCAGATTTCTCCCCTTTTTTGCACCCAGCCGATGGCCCCGAGTCCCAAAACCCGCGCGACGGTCCCAGGGGCCACTCGGTGTCCCAAAGCTCCGGCTCCGGCTGCGCCGCGCGCAGCAGCAGCTCCGAGCCGAACGCCGTGACGGCCGCGCGGGAGGCGCAGCCCCGGCCCACGCGGTTTGGCAGCCCGAAGGGGGCCTCGGCGTTTGGGCCAAGTTTGTTGCGTTTGTTTGTGTTATTTTTTCTCCTGGGGGAGGAGGTGAGGGGATGGGGGTGAGGGGGTGAGTGGGTGAGGGGGTGAGGGGTGAGGGGGTGAGGGGGTGAGGGGGTGAGGGGATGGGGGTGAGGGGGTGAGTGGGGGGGGTGAGGGGGTGAGGGGGTGAGGGAGTGAGGGGGGTGAGGGGGTGAGGGGGTGAGGGAGTGAGGGGGGTGAGGAGGGGGGTGAGGGACGTCCACGAGATTCTTCTTGTCGTTCTCGTGCAATCTCATTTACAGTCCAAATATAAGTTCATGTCGAAGAAAATGATACACAAAGAGAATGGAGATGTGCGGAATGACGAAGGAATGACCACCCATCACCACTTCTGCCGCGTCCGGCATGAGCAAGAGAAGTGAGTGAATGGAGGATGAAGGAAGAGGCAAGCCAACCGTAGCTTGCCAAGCCTTCACCACTCTCTCACCAGCCAATTCAAGCATTGTAATTCAAGTGCTGGATGGGAGATGAAGGTGCGAAGGAAGAGGAAATCATGTGTAACCGGTATTCACTGCGCTCGTGCTCGCCGCTTGGCGCTGATCCGTTGATCCCTGCACTTGGGCTCCCAAATTGACACTCCTTGTGCTGCCGCCCTCTCGCTTTCGATGCGCTGGCACAGAATTACGGTGTAGTTGCCTCAACGCTTGGCTCATTCACCTTTCTTCCCTTTCAGGCTCTGCCCCGCTGCGTCTGTGCTGCGTTTGCCCCGTCGACTGACTGACTGTTTCACTTGCAGGGGCATACGGTGCATGCAGAAGAATGAGTCGACACGTAAAGGCAAACTCGGAAAGGTTTCCACCTGCGTCCTCAACACAGTCATCGCGCAGACAGCTAACAAATCCTCCAACTAGCCAAGCTCGCTGCGGTGCTGCGTGGCCCAAGCGTCCACTACACCGCTCACTTGCCCACCCCAACACCTGCTCCACTACCCGCTACACTCCGTCCCACTCCACTCCACTACCCGCTCTTCAGCACGCGACTTTTGCAGCGCATTTTAAGTTTTGGTTGGCGGAGTTGCGAGTTCGGTGGGGGGATTTACACGCGTCGCATGAACGGTGACAACCACTTGCAAGAAACAGCGCATGTGCATGCTCGCAGGCACAAACCCTTGTTGCGTTGCCTTTCAAGATGCTGCATGCATTGGTTGGCCTGCAGTTCAAAATCAACCAGGCGTTTATTGGCGGCACAACTCGCCAATTGTCCAAGGCGCCGCTTGCACAAGCCGCATGCCGTGTAAGTAACTGTACGGAGCCAGCGGGACAATGCGCAAAGGATGCCGGAGGTCCACGGGATCTCCGAAGTCACCAGATCTCACCGGCGCAAAGACGAAGACATCATGCCAGCCCTTGCCTTGGATTAGCATGCAGAAAATTGATGGCGCCCCAAAAAGGGTGGCAAAAACCATGATTTCCTCTTAGAACCAACCAAAAAAGACCTGGTTCTATGCCACTGGGTTCCAAAAACCACCCGAATAAACGAGGATTCATGGCCAAGAGTCGGCCCAGCACAGCGTGGCCAAAGTCTGCAAAGCGCCCCAGCAGCGAGTAGGAGGAGCCCATGCCTCCTCCGCGACTGGGAGGCTCGCAGCTCAGCAATACCTCGCCATCCACCGAAGGCTGCCCCAGCTGCAGTGGCTGGCCATAATGCACTGCCTCCTGGCCGCCAACTCGATCCTATGAAAGCAAACGCGCAACCCAAGCAAACCCCCAGAAACTCCCAAGCCCCAAAAAAAGGAAAAGCGGAGAAAAAAAGGGAAAGGGAAAAAAACGTCCCTCCGGCACCTCCTTAAAGCCATCCAGGCCATTGGCCCGGTACAGCGCCCAGGCCAAGGCGCGCCGACTTCCCTCCAGCGGCGCCCCGGTGAGCGCCACCAGGCCCCGGGCGCGGCGCCCCGAAGCCGCGAGGTCCCGCGCAAGGCGCAGCTCCTCGCTCGCGGGGCTTTGAGCTTGGGGGCGAGTTATACATCTCACCCGCCTGAAATCGTGGAATTTTGCTCCCCCAGCCCGAAATCGTGGCCGGAATTTGGCTCCCCCAGCGCCCCGGCCAACAAAAAAAAGAAAGTGGTTTGCCTGGCTAGTGGAAAACGAAGGGAACCCCAAGAAAGCAAAAAGAAAATGAAAGGGGGAAACAATTCTGGGCAAGAAATAAGGGGCTGGAGGGCTACAAGAACCAGGGGTTCAAATCCAAATCCAAACCACCAATCCAAACCACCAACTATCGGGTGAGTTATAAGATTTCACCAGCCTAAACAGGGATCCTCACATTATACACCTGAACATTGCCTTGTAAATGGTGGTTTCCCTTTATTTTGGCTTCCAAGTAGGCAATATGGGTATGGGTCAAACTAAAGCCACCAGGAATTGGACCGCAGGTTTAGTCTTTGGTTCCATTTATCAGGGCAAGCCATTTTGGGTACGCATTGTTGACCCACCGCCATATTTCACCAGCCTGCAATAAGGTGGAGCGATATTCCCCACGTAAACACCAGTATTTGGGATGAGGTCGTGTGAGGTCGTTAGAATTCACCCAGTTTGGTGAGCCTTTTTGTTGGGTGGGGACGCGTGGGGACTGGATCCCAAGACCCCGAAAAAAGTGCCGGGGCAATGAGAAGACGAAGACTTTTGCGTGTGTTGTTCCCCTCGAACAGCGCGAAACAGGTGGGCATGTTCAAAGAACAGACGTGGTGATCCGATCCTCCAAAATGGGATGAAGTAGGGACCCTGCCGTTATTTTTCGGGTGGCTGGCCTAGGAGCAAGCTTGAGGCTGCCACTTGCGGAGCTCCTCCGCCACCGCGTCGGTGGGTTGCAACTCCCGGGGCCCCACGTGCTCCGTGACTTGCGGCCGCGCGCAGGCGCACAGCGCCAGCGGCTTCGACGCCTCCTCCGGCGGCATGTGACGACCAATCTGCAAAAAGTGGTTCGCTTTTTGGTGGGCCCAATGCGGAAAATCCCGGCCAAAGCGTCAACCCGAAAAAATTCGCTTTGTGTGGGTCCAATGGAACATCTACTGTTCCGATCAAAAAGTTCCACTGCGGAGAGGTCCAAAGATCCGTTCCCTCGCCAAACGAGTCCTCCAAGGGCGGCAACAGTAGCCACACGCCGTCCCCGAAGCGCAGCCGCGTCTCAGGCCCCGCGTCCGGGCGCAGGGGGATCTCCCGCTCCGCGGCTTCGGGCGCTGGGCGGCGCAGAGGCTTCAGATGCCGCACCTGAGTCACTTGCTCAAAACCCGGTAAAATGGTCTACCTAGAACCATGTGAAGAATTATGAAGGCGGATATCTGCAGCTATTTATGGCAAGGGGATTGTCCCTGACTAACCTTCACTTACCCGTGTTTTGAATGTGGCTCACCTTGCGCAGGCCAGCAGAGGTCACCACAACGGAGTCCACCGGACCATTCTGCAGCCTTCGCAGCTCCCACGCTTCAAGAGGCGCCATGGGATGCTCATTCTTCGCGCTGCGTAGATGCGTGTGGTTAGATGGCACTAGGTGCTGCCCCGTGTCGTTCTCTGTGGCACGTGTGCTCAGAAATAAGCCTGAGGCTGCCTGGCGGTCTCCAAACTGATCTTGCTGGTGCGATAGATAGGGAATGACGAGGAGTCCGGGTTGGGAATGAACCGGTTTTGGGGGATTCCCGAATAAAGGAAACCACGGGTTGGATGCATTTGTTCTCGGGGTCATTCCAATTCTCATTCCCTGCCTGTCGAACAAGGCCCTCTTTGGCCTTTGGGCCTGCCTGCGTCGGCGGCCATGGCTGGGCCCCCACCCCAAGCACCGGATCCAACGCTTGCAGTCGCCGCTTTTCTAATGGAACTGCTCGCCATGCCGAAATAGGCAGGGCCTCTAGCCGTTGCCAGGAATTCCTAACATCGGCACCGCAGATGTTCTCCGTTGAAAATGCAAGGCAGTTGGCATTCGCCATGCCTGCCAAACGAACTCACGAGAAACCTCCGCCCCCCCATCAATTCCGTCTACGTATCTTGCAGCGCGCCGTCTGCTCAACAAGGAAGGAGACTGTCACCTGACAGCGCTTCCACAGAAATCACTTTGCAGCTCAAGGTGTCTGCGCAACGCACTCCTGGCCTCATTGCTGCCTCCTCATTCCCTATCCACAGGTCTGCCCATTGGCTGCCCATACATGGCTGGCAAGGCTGGCATGGCTGGCCTCACAAAGACTCAAGAGTGAATGCGAACTGGGCACACCACGTTTTTAGCTTGAAAACTGCTCGTATCGCTCGTGAGCTTCAGGATCAGTGCCCGGCTGGCCGAGAAAAAGGTCCGTGTGCTGCCGCGCTGGCCACTGGTAGTTCTGATTGAAGTCGGCACCTGACCAAGCTCGGGGGACCCCACATGAACAGCTAACAGGTTCCAATACACGGACTTCCGATCGCATGCAAAGGTTTTCGGACCCAACAAGCCCCCAGCCAGAACCACCAGCGAAACTCATATGGAACACTCCACAACTTGCAACGTGGCGTTCCTGGCGTTGGGAGCGTGAACTTGCGTCACTACATGGATATTAACATGGCATGGAGTTAAGCCGGCACAGCGTGCCACAGCTTGCCACAGCTTTGTACGTCACCCGTCCCACCTGGAGCCATGTACATCTGGGCCTGCGCACACTGGAAAAAAGGCTGGGAAATCTGGATTTGCGACCGCTTGTCTCTTTGCAGAAATAGATCCAAGCGCAGCTTGAGCGGCCGGATTGCCCATGTCGAACTGCGACCTTGGTACTCCAATAGTTAACGCCTATACCTCGGCCTGCGTCCAACAAGCGTCCAAGTTGTCGAAGTGTCAGTGACCGCATCAATCCACACAACGAGAATTTTGGAGCCCTTCCCTTCAATCCTTTCAGGTCGTCTTGTCAGTCGGAGCGGCTGGGGCCCGAGCTGCTCGAGCTGGGGCTCGCGTGAGCCACTTTCCTTCTCCTCGGCTTTTCTTCAAGGACCCACACGGCTGAAAGCGCGAAGCTGATGCTTGGTTTGGCCGACCTTCCCCATGTATTTGGCCTCCCCCACCCTCCCTCCAACCCCCCCAAACCCCCCCAGCTGAGACCCACTGCCAGGGGTACCGTATCCGCGAAGGGAGCAGGTAAATTGTGGTAGTAGAGAATGTGTTGGTAGGTCCCCGGATCTATTCTGCAAGAGAGTCCAATATGCACATAGTGGAGGAACTGAGAATGGAAGTCCCTGGTCCTGATAATGTGTGTGATATATTCCTGCAAGGCGCTCTGCTAGATCCTTTTGTAATGGCTGCATGAATGCAACTATTATACAAGATGGGCCTTGAGCCAAAAAAGCAATGTGTGGTGCAGGGTCAACTGAAGCAAAAGCAACACAAAACAAACACAATTTCTTTTGACCCTGAACACAAAAATTGCATTCTTGGCTTCTTGGCCTTTAGCCGTAGCCATACATATGGTGTGATTGCCGTAGCCATGTCGAAATTTAAATCATCCTATTTCTGTCGGGGATGAACTGTCTTGTTGGCAGAATGGAAAATGCCTTGTACTGATCGGACGAGATACCTAACTGTATCTAAAACGGAAATGTGAGAAACATTTTGTACACGCGATTGTGTGAAACTATTGGTCACTCACAAGCATAGTCTTGATGTGCACGAGGATCAATCGATTGGAATTCGTGGTGTCGTTTTCCGTGTGATTGTTCTCAGCGGTCATACTATCTCATCGCTTCTGCGAGTACCAACGGTAGCTGCTATGGGATTGGCTTGCATATCCTCCGCCATAATCCTCCATCCTTGGTAGCCCGAGCTCTTCCATCCTTGCTGATAGGATTGGTCCCATGGCTTCCATGCGGTCTCCTTCTCCTTCTTGTTCTGGTTGTACTCCTTCTTGCTTTCTTTCTTGATCACCTCGAGGCTGCGAGTACAGACCAGCAATGGGGTATGAGAGTCGGAGTCGCATGGCCCAAGCATTAGCATCTCATTGTTGATGTGCTTGTAGCGCTCGGCGGTCACTGACCTTGTAGTCGGAGATGACCTTGTCAACTGTCAACATCTGTTATCATGGAATCCATCGTATCTTGATCGAGCTTGGAAATCTCGAGGTGACGGAATTCTTGTTGGACGTCAGTCTTTCCCCAACTGAACACGAAGGTCAGCATGCAATCCGGAAACGTTCTGTCAAATCCTGAACCTTCCTTCATGTAAAGATGGTGGCGAGCAATGGGTTTGATTGCGCAAGAGGTTGACATGGTGAAATTCATTTGCTCCGCCAACGGCATGTCTTGCGTTCCATTCCAGAGGAGTCCCCGAAGGGCGCTGTTTCAGTGTCCTCTGAAACTTCTGGACTAGTTGACTGCTGATGACTAATGGCGGAACATTCTTGTTGAACGGGCGGCCCTGGATTCTAACAGCGGTGCTGCTAGTCATGTTGAACTCCTTGTCGATGGCAGCCATCTCCTGTCGAAGGATATCTACCTGCTTGTCGGTGAACGGCTCAAAGATGTCCTCGAGGAGGTACACTTCATTGTCAAGCGGTTTCACCTTCAGGTGACGCAGGATGATGTGCGCGAGATCCTGGCAGAACTGGTAACGATACACCTGTGCCAGTTTAGTTCTGCTTCCGTAAGTGCCGGCATTTCCCTCAAGGGGTTGATGCTCATGTTTTTGACTGAACAGGTGCAGTTTGTACACTTTCGAAAAATCGGTCTCATTACCTCGGGAGGCAGCAGCGCATCAAGCTTGTTGGCTTGAGACATCTGAGTCCGGATTCAGGATCTTTCAGTCCGTACGCACAGAAATGAAAATCTCCCCAAGTCACGGATGGATCTGACAAGAGTTGCGTCATGCAGTTCAAGTTCCAGATCCTGGATGTTCTTTCTGCAAGGATTCTTTCTCATCAGGCCATAAGAAATCAATTCCATGTTTCCCCGGAGGGATGGTCTCATCCTTTCTGACTTTCGTCATGTTGACCTTGATGAGTCTTGATCCGAGATCAAGTCCAACCATTGCTCCTTCTAAGGAAATGACTTTTCCTTTTAGCCATATTCCTCCCTTGCTTCCATCGGAACGAATCTTGGATTTGTCTTCCTGCCAGTAAAATACTTTGTCCTTCACCTGAAGAGGTTTGGAGCTCATCCTGAAGTTCTGAGCAAGGTCTCTCCGGATGTCCTCGGATTGACAAGCCTCTTGGAATGCCTGCTTGGACAGCTCTTAATCTGGATTGCTGTAAGCTCTTCCTCATTCCGGTCGATCGTCAATTGAGTTGGTGTTGCGACATCAAGTTCGATGAGATCTGCAGGTCTTCGTCCGAATGCGAGCTCCAGAGGCGTTACACCCCCATAGGTGACAGTCTGATTTCTGACAGTTGCTGCTGCCTTCACAAGTTGTCGGTACGTCACTTTCTTCAGTGTCGCAGGCGCATTGCCCGACTTGATCGAACTGAGCATGATCTTCAGCTGAGCCTTAAATAACCGAACTGCTGCTTCAGCTCGATTTGGCCATGGTGCATTCGGTCCCAGGGTCTCCGTCATGAAGGCCTGATCGCCGACAACTGATTTTGGCTGCAGGTGGTACTGGTCAAAGTAGTTCCTGAGGACAGTGATGTTCTCGGCTTCCTGCGTAGTTGTCACTGCCTCGGCGGTGAGCAATGTTGTTGCTCCATCCAGGATGACAAAAATAATGATATGTTCTCCAGTTCCAAGAGGAACTTGACAGTGATCAATGAATGTCATGTCTCCAGATGTGCCCGCTCGAAGTCCACTCGTCTTGCTTCGTGAAGGTGCATGTTTTGCTGCTTGGCAAACTTCGCATTCACTTCTGATCTTGTCAAACAGATCGTGGATTGGTTTTGGTAAGTGAAGCGCACGAGTCCTGAATCGAAATTGGTCTGTAGTCATATGATGATGCTGAAGATGGAGCTTTTTCAGCTCTTCTGGTTTGGACAATCGCTGATGAATTCTGCCTAAGGCAAGCGGAAGTGAAGTAGGTTCTTCTTTGGATGGCGTTGCAGGGTCTGGCTCAATAGTCGACTGGCCCTTCTTGTCGATGATCCTGTCTGCTGCCGATCCTGAACCGGATTCTTTGTCTTTCAGCGAGTCGTCCCCGAAGGTGAAAATGGTCTTACCCGTCCACAGGTTGATCAATGGTTTGTTCGCCTGGATGTAAGTCTTCAATTGTCCTCAAGGATTTCTGGATCCCCACCTTCGGATGCACCAATGATTTCCGTTGTGCGCTCTCGGCTGATGTTGTCAGCATTAACCGGACACACTCCTTTGTTCCCGTCGGTGTGAACAGTGCCTTGCGAGGCGTGATGTGCACACGGATGAGCTGCTTGTTCTTCGTGTCAAGTATCCAGTGATCCTGCTTGAGAGAACCAATAGTTTTGGGAGTCGCTGTCTCTTCCTTCGCCTCGGTTTCCTTGGATGCACAGACTTGTTCACTCACTGAGTGTTCCCTCGAGGGGAATTGAATGCTGTTGTCATCATCGTAAACATAGCTGGTGAGGCCTTTGACGGCGATCTCTCCATGGGATTTCACTCTTGCTACTCCAGCAAGATCGACGAGCGCATGTCCTGTACCGGATACCGGAACTGCTTGACGATTCATGCCAACACGTGATCTTGTCACATTGAGGTGTGTTCTCAATGGTCATGTACAGGTTCCGCATCTGACCAATGCTCAGGAGGATGGGTACAATTCCTTGTTCAAGGATGTCGATATTGGTGCTGCATGGAGGTGTTGTATGATACCTGAGGCGCAAGGTCCAGTTTACCTTGGCTGTCTCTCCATTCGCAAAAGTGAACTTGGTCTGTGCGAGTAGGAGATGAGGTTTTTCATACGTTCGATGGCCTGGGCAAAAACGCTCGATTGCATGCCAGCTGCCCATGGATCTGGTACATCCGTTGTCCAGGATCGCATAGGTTGGATTGCGCTGTGGGTTGATGACAGGCGCCATCAGCTTTGTTGCCAAAAGGCTTTGTTTTGCTGTCGCCGTCATTGACTGTTCAGAAACTGCATCGGCTTGGATCAGCTTCTCATGGATGGCGTCCGTCTCATGCTGCTCATATGCTCCATCATCGCTTGCGCGGTGCTGGATGACTCATGAGATGAGTACCAGCCTTGTTCACTCCAATTCCAGGATGGATCCCAATCCTGATCTGTCCAACCGGCATAGGTAGGCTCTATGGATGGTGCAGTCGGCTGAATGGCGGGCTGCTCCTCCGTCTTCTCTGCGAAGGCTGCGAACGTCTTGGATTTTCCTTTTTCTTGTCCGCCTTTTCCTTTGCCATTGTCATAGGATGGATAACCTTTGTTTCCATCATAGAAATATTGGAATTTTGATTTTCCTTTCTTTCGCTTCTTTTCTTTGCCTTTTCCCCAATATGCCTGGCCGTAGGGATCCTGATTTTCGCTTGCCATATTAGCCCTCCCGCCAGACCTCGTTGGTGACTGCCCTTTTTGTTTGTCGCTTTTCCTTTTCCTTTTCTCTTCTTGAATCTGAAATTCCGCCCAGACACCTTTCTCGCAATGAACGCATCGTTCTCCTCCAGTACCCAAAAAGTCTCCTCATCGTTGGTTGGCATGAACCCTTCCAGTCCTTCTTCGTCTTCCACCCAGTAGCCTTCTTCACCTTCATACTCTCCTTGTTCCAAAATGTAGAAGGTTTCCTCAGGATGGTCGGATGGACGGATCTTGGATGGATGTTCTGGTCGTGATGAACAGGTTGCGGCACTGCGTTTTTATCATCTTGTAGGTATAATTCTCAAGCGAGATGTTTCTCAATGACATTGCCTTTCTCTCTGCTGATCTGACAACTCACTTTGGGTGCAATGAGGTTGTCGCTGAGGGGAAATTCGTCCCGGCGCCTTGTCTGCATGCCTGTAAGGTACTGCGTGAGTACTTCTGGATTGTCTGGCTGCAGCAGATCTGGAGGCGGCGCTCGTGCGCCAGCGGCTTACTGAGCTATGAACTCTGGTGACTGTGCCGTATGAACTGGCATCAGGTCCATCCAGGCTGCCTTCAATCTCATCAAGAGGATCTCAAATTTTGATGTGCGTGTGAGGCGCTCGGTGTTCTGCCTCCTGTGGTTGAAGAAACTGAGAAGTCTGTACAAGTACACGTTGGTCGACCCTTTCAGGAAGAACTTCTTCAGCGTGTTCTTGAAATAGCTGACTCCTTCGTCAGGATCTTACAAGAGGTCGTTCTGGAGGACTGCCTTGTACATGCGAGCGTCTCCCGTGAGACGGCTCTTGAGGAGTGGTCCTCTCTTGGATGCATCAATTGTTGTGAATGTCACCCAATCATCTACAAGTTCTTCATATCTAAACCAGCTGACTCTTCCGTCGTACGATGGCGGCTGCTTGGCGGTCATCGATAAGTTGAGCGTCTCTTCAGTGTAGCCGGATTGTCGGCCAACACTTGAATAGGCTTCCACGAAGCCTTCTCCATCGGATGAGATGGTGTTTGGATTTCTGCAGGAAACCCCTCCGCTACCACAATTGAGACCCCCTGCCAGGGGTACCGTATCTTCGAAGGGAGCAGGTACTTTGTGGTAGTAGAGAATGTATTGGTAGGTCCCCGGATCTATTCTGCAAGAGAGTCCAATATGCCAATAAACTGAGAATGGAAGTCCTTGGTCCTGATAATGTGTGTGATATATTCCTGCAAGGCGCTCTGCTAGGTCCTTTTGTACTGGCTGCAGGATGAATGCAACTATTATACAAGATGGGCCTTGAGCCAAAAATAGCACTGTGTGGAGGGTCAACTGCGAAGCAAAAGCAACACACACAAACACACACACACACACACACACACACACACACACACACACACACACACACACACACACACACACACACACACACACACAAACACACACACACACACACACACACACACACACACACACACACACACACACACACACACACACACACACACACACACACACACAAAACACACAAACACACACACACACACACAAACACACACAAACACACACAAACACACACAACACACACAAACACACAAACACACACAAACACACACAAACACACACAAACACACACAAACACACACAAACACACACAAACACACACAAACACACACAAACACACACAAACACACACAAACACACACAAACACACACAAACACACACAAACACACACGCACGCACGCACGCACACGCACACACACACACACACACACACACACACACACACACACACACACACACACACACACACCACTCGGGTGTCGCTTGGATTGCTGTCTGCCCAAACCGAGCCAAGCGTCGAAATCCAGCTCGTCAGCCTCGTCGAGGGGGGCGTGCCTGGCCACAAGTTTTCCCCGAGGTTCGAAGCGCGCCACACTTCAAAACCCATCCCCGTCGTTCTTGACTTTCATGTGAGCGACCAACATGTGCGACCAACGTAAATGGCATGGGCCCATGGCAACTTGTGTTTGTTTGAGGTGGTTTTCTTTTTTGAGGGGGGGGGGGGGGGCAGATCTTGTGAGCCCCCCCCCACCATGTCCCTCACAAATGAACCATAGACTCCTGGATGCGTCCCCCTCTTGCCCAAACAAGCTCGCTGAAAAGGGTACGGGCGAGTCCTCTCTTGGCATCATGCTTCTTGGCATTTGGCCAAGAGGTTTGTCTCAAAGATGAGGGAGCCCCCAAAACGGGGCGGGGTGCGCTTGGCTCCTTTGACCCCAACCAATAAACACACACCCAAACGGCCAGAAGCTATGGCACGTGTGCCGCACCGTGGGATTCTGTGGCAGGCGAGACAGGCCTCGGGATGCCGAAGAGCCACACCCGCGCGGCGTTGCCCTTGCCCTCGCCGCAATGATGCTCCTCGAACATCACTGGGCCCAAACAAAGATGCCGAAGCAGAAAAGACAAAGGAGAGGAAAAGAGGGGAACAAAAAATAAAAAGCAATCTACCAAAGAAAAATGAAGAGAAAAAAGAGGGGAACAAAACATAACAAGCAATTTACCAAAGAAAAATGAAGAGAAAAAAGAGGAGAAAACAAATAAAAAGGACCATGAACTCACAGAAAGCACTGTGCTTACTTCAGCCAGTGATCTAGGCCGTGAAGTCAACCCAATTCTGTTGGTGTGAGCAAGACATGTCAAAAGGAAAGGATCTGTCTGAGAAGTGCGGGCCCGAAGCTTCGCCCCAAATTGAGAAGTGCGGGCCCCTTCGGCAAATGACAATGGCGAACTGTTTCCCATTGGAAAGCATCATCACCAAAAAGGCCCAAACCATTATAAGGGATTTAAAGTCCAGGAACTCGAGTGCGTCTGGCTTGTGCTTTTCCAATGGCCATCCAGCATGTCTTCATCAACCCCATGAGACTTCCGTGCACCAAACCAGCCTAAAACCCACCCACCCCTCCTTCGGAAAGGCCAGCACATACCAGCAGCTGCACCAGCAAATCAGCACTGCCCCTCCGAAGCCGCCCAAAGCCATGGCCATGTACGCGTGCCTACGGAAAAGGCCGCAAGACGCGGCATATCAACTAGATATCCTAGTATCAAGTTGGCGTCTCTAAGGGGATCCAAGCAAATATTGCTCTCTTTCAACTTTTGGTTTGCCTTTATTAAAGTAAGCTCAGGTGATATCCCCAACAGCATGCGGTGCTCGCACCACCCTGCAGCCCTCGCAGAACCTCGTGGAACCCTCGTTACCTCAGGGCCCCCCAGGACCACCACCGGAGCCTATCTAGGCTGAGACCCCAAAGCTTTTAGCTGTTGGGGGAGGAGGAGGGGAAAAAAAGAAAAGAGAAAACAACACGCCGCCCAAATAGATGCTGCGCAAAAGCCAAGGCACAGGATGCTGGCTAACTGCCCGCCCAACCTTAGCCGAAGGCGGGCAAGACATGGGTGGACTTGTTTAAGAAACTCGGAACCCCCAAATGGTTTCGGTTTCCTTTGTTTCCGCTTACGCCCACTCCAAAAGAACCAACTCATATCAAGACACCGCCAAATCCGGTGGCCGAGCACGCCTTCAAACCCCCAGGTGCCGAGGCCGTCTGAAGTGTACACGGGGCGACTGCTTCCGAGGCGCATGGTCCTCTGCATGGCCTGCTCCGGGCCGGAAGCCTCCCGGCCTTTGGCAAGGGCGTCCTGAAGCCACACGCCAGCGTGAGAGACGCCAAGTTCTGCAACCATGGTTGTTGTTGGGAAACATGTTTGTACATTTTTGCTTGTTGTGGTTTAGTGGTTGAAATCCCCACTTGACTGCTAATATCCAAATTGTTGCTCCCCTTCCAACGTTAACCAAGCAACGTGAGACACACGTTGAGATCTGATCCGAACTCCGGCCTTCCACCTCTCTTTCACGGCCTCCCAGTCGGAGAAGTCGAGAAGACCCAAGCCATGATCAGCGGCCTGAGCGGTGAGTGTGTGTGTGTGTGCACTAGGGGTCCCCTGCTTGAAAAGCGCGCGCCGAGCGGCATAGATGGTCAGCTGACACATGTACTCGGCCGTGAAGTGACCTCAAAAGAACACCCGGTGCCAGCATCCCCTTTAAGGGAGAGGCGGGTGGTTTTTTTTCACCATTCCATTCACCCAGCCTCCCCCCCAAAAAGGGAAAATGGGTTGCTAAGTTTTATGGAGATCTGCGTGGCTGACCGACCGGGACCCGTCCCTCACCGGGGGTCGGCTCCGAGCGGCTCATCATCTGCCAGGCCCAGACCAGGCCGGAGGTCTGGCACCGCAGCTTCAGCACCGGGTTGTGGCGCCACATGAACTCCTGGACCTCATGGTCGCTGACGGAACTTTCATAAAGGCGCCCGGGAAGGGAGGGAGGGGGGAGGGGGGGCCGGGGGGGAGGGAGGGGGGGGGGGGCCTTTTCTGGTTTCAGTCATGGTTTTCAGAAACCGGAGCATCGCAGAGCAAGAGAGCCACCATCGATTTCTTGCTGGTGCTCAGTCAATGAGGGAATGACACGTATAAACCATCCCGTGTGGCTTCCTTTAAGGGAATCTGGGTCATTCCCTCCTTAGCACCGGCAAGCTGTTCCACGTGAAGCTTCATGAGTCTCTCCACCTGCAGTTCCACAGCGCGCCCATGCCAGCAATCACTCTGGGCAAGCGGGCAACGCTCTCCGCAAGCAGCGCCTGGCCAGAACAAAGACAAGATGTCTTAAGATGTGGTCGCATGAACAGGGGCCATCAAACAGGCGCCGGCTTCATCATGTAGCCACATTCTTTACAGGAGCCAGATGGAGCAAGTATTTAACATGGATATGAAAGGGCTGCAAGGGCATGCTAGCACGAAATCTGGTCTTTGGAACGTTTGACCACGGATTTTAACATCAGTTGCGGTCAGGAACCGTCTCAAAAGGCTATTGCCATGGCACGTTCCCAAAAAGGCACGGCTGGCTGGTACTTGCAAGCCTTGCTTTCAGCTGTGCTCAAGACGGATCGGTTTCAGCTTTCTGCGTCGCTGTCGGGATTTTCTTCTCCGCCTTGGAGCCCCAGTCGTGGTTGTGCATGGTGAGCTTCGCCAGGGGGTTCTTCGTTTCCCCGGGCTGCAGCGTCATGGGCAGCGCGGAGGGCTGCAGCCTCGCTGGCGCTAAGTTGGGGCCACCTGGGGTTTCCAAAAGGAAAAGCGGCTTGGGCCATGTGGGGCTCGCCTTCTTTTGAGTTGGTGCCCCCCCCCCCAACCAAAAAAAGAAAGGAAAACAGCCATGTTGAGGCGGGTCCCCCAAAAAATCGACCCATTTTGGAGGGTCCCCTATTTTGAGAAACACCCATAGACTGTCACTGCTTGCCTGTCAACTAGAAAGTTCAGCAGCTTTGCCCCAACTCACGACTCACGGGGTACGAGAGTGCAAGACTGGGCATCGCCCATTCACCGAGGCAAGCAGCTCAAAGTAGCCCAAGTTGGTCATGTCCTTATACCTCGGTGAAGCTTCCATTGAGACCATCGAAGCTGCGGCAAAGATACCCTGGAAATTCTTCCTTCATCCCTGCCAAGATCGCCTGCTTCAGCTTCAACCCAGACTGGTTTCACCATGGGACACCAGAGTGAAACAAAAACAAAGACCTTTCAGGCCTCTTGGGCCCCTCGAGTCTCTGCTTCTCAACGTGTCAAATCCGCAAAAACACGGAAGCGTCAAGCTCCAGGCTCGAAGACGCCGTCGAAGGTTTCCATGACAAAGTCCTTCCCACCACCTAGACTGGGGCAGCACATCACCTGCTCACGGCTTTACGTAGCTCAGCTCGAGAACTTAAAGTAGAGTGACACGCAAGGTAGAACCCCACATTCATCTATGTTGAGTCGCCAAGACCCCCAAAAAAACGGCTTCTTAGCTCAAGAACTTAAGGTAGAGTGACACGCAAAGTATCACCCACATTCATCCATGTTGGGTCGCCAATAGCCCCGAGAAAAAAAAAAAAAGGAAAAAAACGCCGCGGGGCTATTGAAGAAGGCCATCTCACAAATGATCTCTAGCCTCGGTGCGCCGCTTGTTGAGCCAAGGCTTCCCTCACCTGTCAGAGGTACATGTGGTTTTTCCCGAGCCGAGGCTTTCCTCGTTGGGGAAGTTTTTTCCCATTTCTTGCCGGAGGTACGTGACATGAGATGCACATGTGTTGCCAAACAAGGCTCTTCCAGTTGGTGGCGGTGGGAAGATTCAGCGGCATCAGGTTGATGATGCCAATGCTGGGCGTGATGGGTGGATCCATCACCTACAGGACAAGCAATCCAAGACTTGTCTCATTGGCCAGGCATCTGAACTAATGCAGTCTGCGCTCGGATCCTGCAAACGAACACGGAAAAAAAAATAGTTTGGCCTCTTGACGGCAATGCGCAATGGCGCGCTGAGAACTGCAAACCGAGCCGTGTGCTCAGGCCGCCTGCTGGGCAACCTCATAACTGCCGTAGCCCATGAGCGCGGCAAGTAACAAGACTACTGGGCAGTTGCAGAGAATTCCTCGGCCAAGCAAACTGAGCAGCAAAAGAAGCGGGCCTTGCCCTCTCTTGCTGGCGCGAACATCCCTGCAGTTGACAAACTCTGCGCCAGGCGTCGATATGGCAGCCACATGCAGCATCTGTGCCTTTGGCAAGTGCGCGGTTGAGGACAGAAGCACCTCGCTCAGTTGAGGCTCAAAACGCCCGCCACTCCAAGCCCAGCCAAGGCACCTTCCGAGGTCCGCAAGGCTTTGGCAGCCTGCGGCGCGGCAGCGATGGATGCATCTATCATGCGGCAGCTGGACTCAAGAAAGCTACATTCCAAGGCTTGGCTTCTGGCAGCATCCGTAGAAAATGGAGCAAAGACCCTCCTCAGGATCTTCACCTATGTCCGACATCCCGTCCGAGCGGGTTTGGTTCAGGGTCTGAACAAGGGTGCTCCCCAAAGTGCGAGACCCGAACCTGGCCTTTTGCCTTCGCTGGCATGGTCCATTCAGGCGCGAGAGGTTCACGCTGCCCGTTTTCTGCAAGTGAGATAGTGCACAGGTGCGTCACCAAACATGGGTTGCCTTTGCCGTTCGATGCCTGTCAGTTGCCCGGCCTATCAGCCCTTCCCCCCTCTGCGACTGGAATTTTCACGGCTCCCTAGAGCCGCTGGAAGCGATTGCCGGCTTGAAAACTGAGCTCACACATCCCTCTCGCGTGTCTCATACCCATCCCCAGCTATCGGCCACAGGACATTTCGCAGAAAGCTTCCGTGGCCGACTGACAAGTCCCCCACCTTCTCAACATGCGCAAGACTCACGTGACAATTTTGGTGGCCGTTGAATGTGTTCCAGCACATGTGGCACACACATGATCCTGTGCGAGCGCTCGGAACCTGTTCATTCGAACCCACTAAACCGGGCCCCTGAAGCTCCGTCACGATGGTTTTGTTCTTGTCCATGGGCAATGGCCCAAAAGCTCTCTGACGATGTCTCAAGGACTGGACCTGAAATATGCAAAAAAAGATACGAAATCTTGCAAGCAGGCTTTGAAGGCCGAACATGGCTCGCCTCTCGACAACCACCTTTGCCGCAATCTACCGGTCTGGAAGAGCCATGGAACTTCAACCGCAAGTTTGCTCGGGCGAGCCTGTTCCCGCAATCCCTCCTAGAAAATCCCGCGAAATGGATCTGCAGCACGCAAATCTCGTATGTAACCATAGGTTCATGGCAAAAAGAATACAGAAAGCAGCCATTGGCAGCCCTTGAAAAATCAGGCCAGTGATTTAATCACTCGCTTGCACACCGGGGCACTGGTGGCACACGAGGCGCATGTTGGTGCAATGTCAAATTTGTGATGCCTTGTGCCAGGAGTGCCCAGGGCATGTGTCAGCAGCGGTGGCATTTTGGCAGGACCTGGCTGACCCATTTGTCCTGTTTGCCGGAAGATGCACCTGCGCGCTCGAGAACCCCCCTAAGATTTGATTTTCCCGCGCGTGGCCCCTCTCTTTTCTTCTCTGCATCTAAGGGTGGAAGTACGTACCCCTTGTTCATGCCACTTGGCTTCCGTGGTTTCCAACCCACTTTATACGGGGTATACACCCCTTTGGGGGAGAGGGGTATGAACATCAGCAGGCCATTTGGGTTCATTTGTCCAAGGGGTATAAGGGGTACCTTGGCACCCCTGGTCTGGGAGGGCTCCAAAAGGTTTCTGCGAGCCGCAAATCGCTCAGTCCCCTAAGCGCAAGTGCTGCCAGCCCGGCGCCAGACCTCCGAGCTCCGCACGTGCCAGCAGCACACCACCGGACCACTCACTGAGGGCTGCAAGCACCGCCTCCAGGGACGAGCCCTCAAGCCCCAAGGCGCGCGGCTCGTACCTGACACCCAGACTCTTTTAGCCTTTTTTGGGGTTGGCTTGAAGGTTTTTTGGTCCTAGAAAGTGATCGGCACCCTTTTTGGGCTTGGTTTAAAGGGACACCAAAGGGGGAAACCGCCCCATTTTCGTTGTCACTCATATACCGTATATACCAAAAGCAGGGGCACACGAAGAGCACGTGCGGGGCCCGTGGCCAGAACGCTTTCGCGAATGTGAGCAGCACCTTCTGACAGCGCGTCAGGTCCGCCAAGGTTGCGTCCGCTGCGCCGGGCAGGGCGAAGCAGCTGAGGTGCTTCTCGATGTCCTCTGCCAAATACTCGAAGCCAAAGCGCAGCACCTAGGCGCGTCGCAACATGGCCTTTCCAGGTACTTCGCCGCGTACCACTGCCGGCCCCAATATCAAGGCCTTGTGGCTGTTTTGAAAGAGCGGTTTATCTGGTACAGTTACCACACGCAAAGTGCACAGTCGGAATGCTGGCTCAGCCACAGGCCCCCCCAACTAAACAAGAAGACAAGTGGCCCGAAAGCATTTTTGGGTCGCCCGCGCACGTGCTCTAGCACAGTTGCTGCGTGCCAGTGCTCTGCGCAAGCTGAAAGTGCTCTGCGCAAGCGTGCTGCCAGGAAAAATGCGGAGAGAAATGACTGCATAGCGAAATGCATAGGAAATTACGCAAGATTTAAAATAGTCATTTAACGCGTGACAGTGGGCCGAAGCCACTCTGCGAAAAATGACACCCTCTGCGGTGGTCGATGTTTAAAAACTGAGGACTTTTGTGCGATTTCTGCGGTTCGCGGGAGATCGGCATGGTCAATGTTGAAAAACCTGTTTTTTGTCGATTTTTGATTTGCCGCGGGATCGGCGCGGTCGCTGTCCAACAACTGCGAACTTCTTCGTGATTTTTGAGGCGCCTGCACGACCCTTCCCGCGGATCGCCGTGGTCGAAGCGCTCTCGCTACGGCGCCGTGCAAATTTGTGCAAAATACCCGACGAACCTCTGCAGGGATCGTGCGCGGCGAAGCGCTCTCGCTGCGGCGCCGCGCGACTGCGTCGTAACTCTCAAGTACGAAAGCTGCACGCGAAGTGTAATCCCGCAGCTCCTGCTGGAATGTCGCAGAAAATCGCAACTTGGATTTTGAGGAATGTTGGTTTAAAGGGAAGCCAAAAGGAAACCCACAACTATAAATTTCCCCGAAAGCATTGCGAAGGGTTCTTCCGGTAAAACCGCTGTGCTCTGCGCAGCTCAGCTGCACAGAGACATGCATAGCGAGATACATAGAGAAAGTGCACAGAGAAATGCATAGCGAAATGCACAGCCAAAATGCACAGGGAAAGTGCACAGAGAAAGCGTAGCGAAAATTGTATAGCCAAAGTGCACAGAGAAATGCGTAGCGACATGCATAGCGAAATTGCACAGGGAAAGTGCACAGAGAAATGCGTAGCGCTATGCATAGCAACAACGCACAGGGAAAGCGCACAGCGAAATGCATAACGAAATGCATAGGGAAATTGCATCGGACAAAGTGCACAGACATATGCGTAGCGAAAAACAGGGAAATTGCGCAGAGAAATGCATAGCCAAACGCGTAGGGAATCTGCACAGGGAAAGTGCACAGAAAAAAGCATAACGAAAATTGCATAGCAAAAGTGCACAGAGGAATGCGCTTAACGAAAGTGCACAGGGAAAGTGCACAAAGAAATGCATTGCGAAATGCATAGGGAGATTGCACAGGGAAAGCGCGCGAAGAAACGCATAGCAAAATGCATAGGGAAATTGCACAGGGAAAGTGCGCGGAGAAACGCATAGCGAAATACATAGGGAAATTGCACAGGGAAAGTGGACGGAGAAACGCAAAGCGATACATAGGGAAATTGCACAGGGAAAGTGCGCAGAGAAATGCATAGCGAAATGCATAGGGAAATTGCACAGGGAAAGTGCGCGGAGAAACGCATAGCGAAATACATAGGGAAATTGAACAGGGAAAGTGGACGGAGAACGCATAGCGAAATACATAGGGAAATTGCGCAGGGAAAGTGCGCAGAGAAATGCATAGCGAAGTACATCTGGAAATTGCACAGGGAAAGTGCACGGAGAAACGCATAGCCAAATGCAGAGGGAAATTGCCGAGGGAAAGTGCATGTGCTTTGTTCAAGTTGCCCTGCGCAAGTGCTCTACGAAAGTTGCTCAGCGCATGCTCGACGCAAGTTGCCCTGTGACGTGCGCTGTGCAAGTTGCTTTGTGCAAGTTGCTCTGAGCAAGTTGCTCGGCGCAAGCGCTCTGTACAAGTTGCTTTGCGCAAGTGCACGACGCAAGCTGCCCTGCGCAAGTGCTCCTTGCAAGTGCTCCTTGCAAGTTGCTCTGCGCAGGTCGCTCGAGCAAATCTCTGGTGCAAGTGCTCTGCGCAAGCTGCTCTGCGCAAGCGCAAGCGCTCTGCGCAAGTTGATCCGTACGAGTTGTTCTGTGCAAGTTGCCCTGCGCGAGTTGCTCTGTGCAAGTGCTCTGCGCAAGCTGCTCTGCGCAAGCTGCTCTGCGCAAGCTGCTCTGCGCAAGCTGCTCTGCGCAAGTGGCTTGGCGCTGCTTTTCTTGTAAACCAACGAGCCCTCCAAAACTTGGTTGCTGTTGACACCCCTGCAAAACGTTTAACTTTTTTGTTGGTTTAGTTGGAAACCCCTTGGTTTCCAAAAAGTTAAAGCCTAAAAACCAATAGCCGTCAATTAAAAAACAAACACACACACACAAACACAAACACAAACACAAACACAAACACAAACACAAAGACAAACACACACACACACACACACACACACACACACACACACACACACACACACACACACACACACACACGCCCCAAGCCCGCCAAAGCCGCCTCCCGGACCGTTCGGTTGGAGTTCTCCTGCGCCAGCTGCATCACCAGCGACGGGCTCACCGCCGCGAAGCGCGCGCGCGGGTGCCGCCAGAAGGCGTCCGAGTCGAGCAGATCGAAGGCGGCGTCCAGCAATGGGAGCGCTCCTAACGCGGCGGACGGCGGCGCGGCTGGTTTTTGGAGTGGGGACTCATGTTTTGAACGGAAACCTAAAGGAAAACCCATGATTCTGTGTTTTCTTCTTGTGTCCCTTTTTTCTTTGGGGGCTTGAAGGGGGGGGCCCTTTGCTGGTGGCTTTAAATAAGCTCAGGTGATATCCTCAACAGCATGCGGTGCTCTTTTGAGTGCGCGCACCACCTCGCAGCCCTCGCAGAACCTCGGAACCCTGGTGGAACCTGGGTGGAACCGTGGTGGAACCCTGGTGGAACTCTCGAGGAAGCTTAATCCAGGGCCGCCCCGGACCACCCCGGAGCCTATCTGGGCTGAGACCTCAAAGCGTTCAGCTGGTGGGGAGAAAACCACGATGACTTGGGGGGGGGGGGGTTCCCCTGAAAAAGACGCCCCTGAAAAAGACGCTCTTGTCTCAAAATTGGGATCTGAAACGAAAATGGAAACAAGGGATTTCCTTGAAGGAAATAAGGATGGCGTGTGGGGAGCCATTCTGATCTACTGAGAATTCCCCAAGAATGGTTGTTTTCCTTTTTCTCTTTCTTTTTGGCAGAAGGGACAAACAAGTTGGCCTTCTCGGCGTGACCAACCAAAACAGAGATCCCTCCCAAAAAACAAGACAAGTGGGAAGAAAACACAAACGAAACAAAACAAAATATTTGGGTGGCCCGTTGATTAGGCTTTAACACATGGGCCCCTTTCAGATGTTACACACATTGTCCCATGGTGCAGGCAATCGGGCCCCATTTATAAGAATTCGCTACATGGACCGTCTGATGGAAGTACCAAAACACACACCGTCCTTCGAGAACCACCCGTGAGGAGCGCGAAAGGCATAGAAAGGCCTTGCTGTTCAGGAGCGTAGCCACCGAAGACGGTAAGTCCTGCGCCCACCCGACAATACCTAATCTTCCACAAGGAAAAGGGGAACCTTGCGTGGGTCATGAGCTTGGCAGCCTTCTTCGTTCCTGCATGCGTCAAAATAGGGGAACCTCGCAAAGCCTGGCCTTCCTTCTCACTTTCCCTTTAAACCAACCCGGAAAAAGAGAAAACAAATGCCCTGTCCGTTTTCAGATCCCCCCCCCCAATGCTGACCAACTCGTGGGTGAAATTCGGAAAGCCAACCACCAAACCAACTACAAAAATCTCAAAAACCTAAGTTGACCCACAGTTTTCACTTTTGATGGGTCAAATTTGGACATCCAACCACTCAACCCACCAAAACCCGCGAAACGCCCAAGCCCGAGACCGGCACGCCTGGCTCTCCGGGCGCAGCAGCTGCGCCTTCTTGGACTTCACGCCCTCGATGGGCTCCGGCGCCGGCAGCTGAACCTCCGCGCGCCGCGCACCCGGGTGGGACCAGCCGAGTTAGTGGGTGTCAAAGGGTTGGGTATCAGGAAATTCTGGAGGAAAGCAGCTCATTTGCGGTGTTTTGGGCCCATTTCCTGCAGATGTTGCTGTAACCAAGCCCTTTGAAAGTTGGTGGCAACGTGGTAACTGTTCGGTTTTATAACCTACGTACAGTGGGGGTTAACTCAGTCAGTGGGTTATGACACAGGTGGGTATCCACTTAGCCGAACATCCAAGTAGTCTCACTTACGATCCAGGCTGGCCAGAAAAAGAACCCCAACTTGTGCCTTTGCCACTAAAATGCCAACCAAACCCACAAAGTGACTAAAGTCCATCAACTCAGGGAGTAAGTAGAGCAACAGACAAGAATCAGCCCGGCTGATCAGTTTCCCAGTCCATGCCAGAAAAGGTAACTTGGGCCCTCCAAAAAAAGAGAGAGACACCGGCCGCAACACGTGCGGACGCCCACACGCAGCCCCGGCCTTTCCCACTTCGGGGAAACTCAGCAGCGCCAGGGAGCGTTTCACTGCGCTGCGCACGCGCTCTTGGGAGTCCTGGCAAAGATCGACCCCTCTGACAAGTGTCGCCTGGTCAAATCGGCCTAAGGTCTCAAAAAATTATCCGCCTCAGCTGGTCACAAAATTCAACCACCCCTCTCCCCCCAAAAACAACACAAAAAACAAGAGACGCAACGCTGGTTGTTGGGCCTTTCCATTTACCCGGGGCCACCGCCATTTCTGCCGGGCGCAGCCTCTCATCCATCCCCCCCCCCGGATCCGCCGATCGATCCGCCTGCGCGCAGGCCGCCACCGCCTCCAGCACCTCGCGGTTCGAGGGCCTCGCCACCGCGCCCAGGGCGTCCACGGCCCGGGCGCGCACCTGGCGGAGGGCTGGGGGACCGCAAAAACACGCGCCCCCGCGCCTGGAAGTGGTGTGTTCTCTTTTGTTTCCCCGGTCGGTAAAAGTAGCCTTCTAAACGAGTGCTGTTTCAAATGAACTTTAGCTTCTACATAATAGGCAATAACGAAAGGGAAATGAAAGGAAGACTGCACCATTTTGAGGGAGGTCGGCGAAAAACTTGCGATCGGTGCGCTTGAGATGGAGGGAATGAGAAATGGAATGAACCGGATCTGTTCCCGAAGAAAGGAAGCCACCAGTTGGATGCTTTACAGGGGTCATTTGATTTCTCATTCCCTAGTGCGCACCAGCAAGTTCACCAGCGTATTCCCGGTTTGGATGCAGGAGAGTCGTCGCCAGGTTGTTGTTTCACCCGGACACCGCAGCCCCCCAAAGACCCTGTCAGGATGAAGGGCTCAAAGCCTCATGAAAGCTTTTTGAGGTCAAACTAACGCCATGAAACTTGAGGTTTTCTATGAAGACCATCCTTAAGGGGTCCTCTGGAAGGTATTGCTTTTGAGCGCTCGTGTTTCTGTGTTGTATTTGTGTCGTTCTGTTGGCTTCTGTTGTGTTCTTCTTCCAGGACGACCGGCAGGCATCGCGCAACCAAGTGCCAAGCTTTTCTCCAAGCAGCAGCTCGTGCCTGTCGGGTGTTGATTTGGCTGTGGGTCAAACCCAATGGGATCCCATGTTGGGGTAGGTGCACCACCCATTTTAGTCTATTTGAGTGAGGATTGGGATGTTCACTCGGCCTCTGCATGGGTGTCCTGCAGCAAGCCCACCAGCGCCTCGGCTTCTTTTTTCAATTCCCGGTGCACAGAAGGGCCCATTGTGCTCGCAGTCCACTGCAAAGTGCCGAAAAGATTCCCCTTCCAAGCATAGACTTAAACCCGGGGATGGTTCATTACCCCCAAAAGGGGTAATGCTGGGTTTAAGTCTAATCTTGAGGTAGTCAAAAAGTGGAACCCTGGTCGCTGCATTTCCCCTTCAAAAGCTGATCAACTTACTGGTCGGCGATCCCGGGCGCCGCCGTCATCTCCACGTCGCCCCAGGGCGAAATGATGGTGCTCGCGTGCGCCAGGGTACAGCGGACGATGGGGTCGGGGTCCTGGGAGTCAAGGGAAACCAAAATGATTCTGCCAGGGCATTTCGGCTTCAGCCAAAAGGAGACCAACCCATAGCGGGCTCCTTTTCAAAGGGACACACACCTCTAGGGGTTGACTTCCCATTCTGTTCAACCATCGTTCTTTTCAAAAACCGGATCCGCTTCCCCAAAGTTTCCGGAGGTTTAGAAAGATTCGGATCCCTGGAAAGAATGGGGAAGTTGGAAGGTGCCCACTGGAACACCATGTGCCTCTCGCGCATGGCAACTGGAATCAATGCTTTGCCGCGGCTCGGTGCAGCACTCGCAGAGCAGCGCCGTGCCGTCGCGGTCGCCAAAGGGAGCCACCTTGGATGAGGCTGCGAAGCGGTGGTTCCACCGCGTCACCGGTTCAAGCGCGCTTTCTTTAGCAAAGCAGCTCCTAGAGTGGCTTCCCCCACGCCAACAAAGAAAAACTAAGGGAGAACCACTCAGCTTCAGAAGCCAAGAAGCTCTAAAAAACAGGTTGTCCCAAGCAAAAAAAAGAAAAACACTCACCCAGATGCTTCTCAAAACCAGGCATCCATTCAGTGGTTGGTGTTTTGTTTTGTTTTTGTTTTTTTGTATGTGTGTGTGTGTGTTTCGTGCCTCCTTAAGACCCAAAGAAGGGATCCACGCGTTGTTTAAGCGCTAGCTGAGCCGCGTCCCCGAGCGCAGCAACCGCCTCCCGGCGAACCTCCAAACTGGGATCGCCCAGGCCGTGGACAATGGCCTCGATGGCCTGCAAGGTCTGAATTCGAGCGCCTCGAATTAGGCCTCGATCTCAGCCGAAAGTGCCCAACCCTCGAAGTTTTGTAGAAAACCCACAAAACCTAGCCTCCAAAGAAGCTTGGCTCAAAATTCCAAGCTGGGCCTCAGCTATCAAGCCCTCGCTCCTCACTGCCCCAAAGCCCTCGGCGCTAAGCAGCTTATGTGCTTAGGTGCTGGGGGTGCTGGGGGCTTTGGCGGAGATGCCAACGCGCATCTTGCGCGCGCGCTTTTGGAACTTGTCTAACCCATAAACGGAAATCAACAGGAACATCGAGCCGCCATTGCTCAAAAAACGAGACGTCCATTTGAATCCATGTGTTGAATCCTTGTTTGTCTTTCTTTTTTTCTCCTCCTAAGACCGAAGGAGAAAAAAAGACGCACCCACTTGGCGGTGCTTGTCGCCGGCCTCCTTGCTGCCGCGCTTCGCCAGCTCGGCCAGTGCCTCCACCGCTTCTTGCCGCAGCCAGTCCTTCGAGCAGGCTGCACGCATCTGGCTGGGGCTGGCTGGGGCTGGCCGGGGTCACTTGGAGTTGCTTTTCTTGTTGGGGAACCCGTCGTTTGGCGGGTTTTCCAGGGAAGCCAGAGCAACCAAAGCCATTTTCTGGCCCCCCCCAAAAAAAAAAAATATATATATATATATATAAAAACGGAGGCACCCAGCCAAGCCAAATTTGCCTGAGATGCCGAAAGCCTCAAGCCTCGAGCAGCTCCAACTAGACGCCGGCTTGCGGAACAAACCAGGCTCCTCCTGGCGGTCCTGCACAATAGCTGCCAAGCCGGACACCTCAGATGGACGAGGAGTACTGGTTGAATACCATGCCAAAGCTGATGTGTCCACTAAAAAACTGGGCCCAAGTGGTTCCTTGGTTTTCTGGTAACAAAAAAGAGCGCCTTCAAATCGGCCAGGGACAGTGAATCAAGCTGATCTCTTCAACTATGGCAACTATTGGTTCCCCCAATTTTCTTGAAACATCCAACCCCACCAAGCGGGTGAAGAGGAAAAAAAATTAACGGGAAAGGGGCGCCCGACGCACCAACCAAACGCGCCCGGAAAAAATCCGAAAGGCACCACGCTCTCGTTCCCGCAGCCCACGGCTGCCAGCAGCCCCCGGGCGGCGTGCCGCACCTAGGGGCGAAGATGCGACCCAAGCCCTCCCGACAGAACTCGGACGTGGGAAGGTTGACGTGGCAAACCTCTAAAAATTTCAGCAGTTCAGTGGATTTGGATTTCAACTAAACCACGATAAGCAAAAATGCAAAAAAATGCTTCCCAACAACAACCATGAGAAGGCACTTGGAAAGTGGGAGTGAGGCTACCCCCCTGGGTGCTTTGCGGTTTTAAACCGGGAAACCCACGTAAAAACCAGAACTTTCCTTGGGCCCTCCAAGTCAAGACGCCATCCAAATGGGGTCTGCCTATGGCAAAAGAAGCAAAGGGAGCGGCGCCAGCCTTTGTCTTGTCCAATTAAAGCGAACCCATCGAACCCATCGAACCCCAAGACAGGAACCAGAAGCTTCTAAGGAGATCCAAAGAAAGCATGGAACCCCCGAAGCAGCTTTGGGATCCAAGCCCACCCGCAACGCGATCACCCACACGCCTCGTAATCCGCGTCCAGAAATCGCCTTGAGCGCAGCTCCGCTTTGAACCCCTTGGCTTGCCTCCAGACTCCCATCTACAGCTTCCTTGCATCCGGGTACCTGTGGCCTCTGGCTGAAACGCCGCAAACAAAGTCGACCACTGACCAAGAAATTCACGCACATTTTTTATTCAGGCCCCCTTTTACTGGAATCCCTTCCAGGAAAACCCTGATTCATCACGGGGTGTTCATCTGCTAGGTTGTCGTCAACCATTTTTGCAACTCTCAAAAGTCATCCCCTCCCAATATGGAACCTGACATGTCCCCTCTGGAGGGTACTGGGTCCATGAAGATGACATCCTCTGAAATTTGCCTTCTGGTGGTTTGAAGGGTCTAAGGGTTGATTCCCATTCTCTTGGCCCATCGTTCTCTTTGGAAACCACCCATCTTCCCAGAACCTTGGCCTCTTTGAAGAGAAGGACGGCAAAGAATGGAAGTGGAAGGCGCAATGGGGAATCAGACCACGTGTGGAATGGAACAGGTCAAACATTGGTACCCAACCTGGAACCCCGGTACATGGAAAAAAGGACTCAAACCTGCGCCCTGGGTGTGGTTAATTTTGACCCCATACCTCTAGGGGTACCTTCCCCATTCTTTCCCGGGATCCTTCTTTCTAGAAAACCTCCGGAAACCCGATCGGGAAACGGATCCGGTTTTTGGAAAGAACGATGGTTGAAAAGAATGGACGTGGGGACTCAACCCCTAGAAGACCCATCTAGGCCCATTCCCCTTCCACGTCCTCTCACGTCTCGCCCGAGGCGCCGCAGCCCCGCCGCCCGCGCCGCCGAGGCTTCCGCATCCCGGGCGTCCAGCAAGTAAGCCAAGGCGCTGGTGGCCAGCAGCCTGCGAGGAAAAGTTCCGAGCGAGCCGAGCCTTCGAGCCTTCGAGCCTTCGAGTCGAGGCACCACGAGCCGACTTAGGCACGAAGCGCTGGCCCCGATGTCACATTCAAAGTCACTTGCTGGGTGAACCGAAGGGGGGCTCTGACTTTGATATAACCCCTAAAAACAGAACGACAATCATGACCCCGCAAGCTGAGAACCGGTTGATGGGAAAAACCGGAGTTCCGCCCCCACCCGCTCTACATGGAACCTGTTGGGGGGAGTTGGTCCGTTTTGTTCCCTTTTGCTGGGACCCCCTGAAAACAGATGACGAGTCATCCTCAAATCCGATTGGTCGTAAAGTTGCGGCTGCCCAGAACTCCATGGAAAAGAAGTCAAAAAGGCGGAGATCCACACCCATTAAACATCTTGGGGTGCCGTTTTTGAGGGCACCCCTTTTCCTTGAAGGGTTTAAAGGGAAACCAAAAGGAAAACCAGGGCCCCCTGAACAAAGACACACCCATTTATGGCAAGGGGAGTGCTCCTTACTACCCTCTCGCCCGGATGTTGATTGCGGCTCAAATTGGGAAAAGGCTGCTTGATCTTGGCCTCGACGTACTTGCCCGAACACTCAACATCAAGGCGTGCTATGCAGCCATGCCACCTCACAGCCACATCTCCATCATCAACACCTGAGGTCTCCACAAGTGAAAATGCGAAGCATGGACAAGAAGCACCCCCTTGGTTTCCCTTTAACGGGGGCCACAGGATTGGGTGTCCGCAAATTGTGTCAACCCCCGGAGGAAAAAGCACCCATCGCTCTGGATTGGCCGTTGCAAGCCAGGCGTCGATCGAGAATGTAGCTGATCCTGAGGCTTCCAATGGCTTCCGCCCTCTCGCTCACAGAAAGCCGACTCAAGCCCCCCTTCTTTGACGGTGCGCAGACGTATTCATCCAACCAAAATGAAGAATGATAAGAACCCCATTCTCAATAACAAAGAAAAAATGTTTACATGCACCCATGCGCAAAACCAAACTTCACAAAATTGAACTCGCAGACTATTCGAACAGCAGTCATAGTGAAACCCCGGCATTTAGATGTTCTGCCCAAAAGGGCGGGATATATTTATGGCTGGGACTATGCCCTAGCCTTCATAAACCAAAGAGTTTGACCCTGTTCAGTTTAGCTGTAAATTGGTTTGGATTGGCGGCTTTTGTAGAGGGTAAATGGGAAAGCCTACCCCTCCTAACCACCAAACCACCAGGCTCCAAATCCACCAATCAGAGTAGCTCCCGTCGAGGAGCCATGATTGTGCCATTTTCTGGCGTGGCTTCCCTTTAACCTACCACTTAGGGTGACTCCGATAGTGGTGAAATAATGGCCCCCCCCAAAAAAAAAAAAAGAGAAAAAAAAAAAAGAAAAAGAACACATCCCGCCGCGGAGGTTTTGCGACCGAGCCGCGTCTCGTGTTTCCCGTTCTCCGCCGACAAGATGGCCGCTTTGAGCGCTTCCAGTCGGACCTTTGGGTCAGCATCTTGCAGGTGGCACCTCGTGCGGTAGCCAGGAGCGGCGCAAGCGCCCCAGCCAGAAGAGCGAGTCTGCCAGATTCCAACTTAAACCCAGGGGTGGTTGAATTCCCCAAAAGGGAAACCCCTGGGTTTAAGTCGACTGTGGGGCAGTCAAAAAAAGGAACCCTGGAGTCTGCTTTTTCGTGGACCGCAACATGATCAAAACCACCCAACAAGGCGGCACCAACTCAAAAAAAGACATTCTTAGCGGACGCTTGGCTTCAAGCACATCTCGAATGGAACTCACTTGCTATGAGGGGTGCCCCACTTTGAAGGGGGCGAGTCCAATCAGCCGCGACACCACATCACATCTTCCGTGAGCTGCTGAAAATGGCGGCTTACCTGGCGGGGCAGCCAAAGCTTTCAGCTCCTGGGGAATTACCACGCCCCCCCCCAAAAAAAAAAAAAAGAAGACTGTTGGACTACCCTCCCCCCAATTGACGTGGAACCTGACGTCGGGTCCTGGTTTAGACCATTTTCAAGAGGATTGCTTGTGAAATTCCATGTTGATTGGTCCTGACCGCCTTTCACTTGGTGCCTGATCATGAATGTGTCGTCTCCCTTGATGCGGCCCCTGCCTCACGCAAGCGCATCGTGTCAGCGAGGACATTTCCACCCACCAGCAGAAGCGCTGCTTGTTCGGTACCATCTGGGAGCTTCCTCACTTGCTGTGTGAGGTTTGAGGCAGCGTCCGTGTCACCCTTTTGCTCCCACTAACCCATGGCAAGCTGCGACCACATCACGGCCTCTGTACTGGTACCAACCAACACCTGGAAGCACCAGCTGGGCACATCCACACTAAGCAACAGCTGACAAGCGCCATCCTGGCCATCTAATTCTTTGCTTACCCGCCCTCCCACTAATACAGCACATGGCAGGGGATCCCTTCAAGAGGAAGCTGATCATCTTGACCATCGGGTGCTATGTTTGCAGGGAGCGTATTCATCAGCTGTCAGAACGCCCGCTCACACAAAATAAGTTCTCCCTTTCGTTGTTGCTTCAAGCCTGCGTCCGGCCTGCAAAACGTATAGTGATCACTATAAACTTAATCAAACAAATCATCCCGGAGACAAGGGGGGGAGGGAGAGGGTGATCTTCGGAAGAGCTCTTCAGCATACTTCTTCGTGCCCCACCTTAAACGGCGCTGTTGCACGCGTGCCGAAATGGCTGGACCCAGGCAAGCCAGAATCTGTGTGCCTTCAGAACTTTGCACCTGAGACGATGCGGGTGTTGCCTGCAAAAATCAATTGGATGGGCGCCCGAAAATTTGGCTTGAGCCAGACTTCGGCCGGACTGGGAATGCCGTCTGGCACTTGGGCATGCTAGAAGCTCGCGCTTCGCTTGACAAGGCTTCAAGCAGAAGCCTTGGCTGTGCTTGTTGGCATTGCATGCAAACCGTGCAAATCCAAACTACCGTCTCTCGCGCTCTCGCAGGATTTGTGTCACTCTGGCTCTTGACATCTTGCTTCACCTCCTGGACAATGGAAGCGCAGCAATTCTTGGCAAACTCTTCATGAAAGCCACAGATGGAGCAAGTGCGACCTTCCGCCGCTCTCCTTGGCCACTTTCCGGGACGCCTTTCGCGCCTGAACCGGCGACCGGGCGCAGGACCCCCGCACTTTGGTCCCCCAAACCATCTCGGAAACCCCAAGAGTGCTTCGCCTGCTTCCGGAGCTCCGCAACACGGTCCAAGACTTGCTGGCTCTCCTCCGGCAGCGACTTCAGCAGCGCCTTCTGCGCCACCTGCGCCGCCTCGCAGCCCGAAATGAGCGAACTGAACATGCCATCTTCTGGGAAAGGCTTGCTTTCCCTCGCCATCAGAAGCCCAGACATGTTCTGCGATCATGCTCCCTTTTTAATCAGCCAAAAACAGCGACAAAAACAGTTCGCCACGAATGTCTGTTTCGCTAAGGCCTGCATGGTCCTTGCAACTATTCTCTGATGGCTCTCGGGCAAGAACGCTTCAATGTGAGAGTTCTGCTGATACATCCGTCCCTGTCTCACAGCAATGCCTTTTGTGGCCCCTTGACGTGTGTTTGCCACTGCCCATGTGGATATCAAGGCATGGGCTTCAAGCTGAAGGTAGAACCTACACCCCCTCAAACTCGCAAAAGAAAGCTCCCCCAATCGGCCTCTGTAAATGGAACCTGTGCTCCAAAGCGGAACCATGGAACCGCCTAGGGTACTTTGCCATGGCAAGTGAGTTCCAACCAGGTTCGCCAACCACCTACCTGACGTACCCCATCGCCCCCTTTAAGCACCCCCGTATTGCCCTTTTCGGACTCGGCGCCCTTTGCCCCTTCCGCCTGGAAGCCTTCCAGCTGCTGCGGGCTGGGCCGCGCGCCTTTGGGCCTCAGCCGCTCCAGCTCCTCTTCGCAGCTCAGCAGGTGCTGCCGCTGGACCGCGCTGAGGGGGCAGGCCTCACAAGGGCGGCAGCGCCGGGGCTATGGCGCGGGTGTGGGGCAAATGTTCTCTGGGCTGCCCTTCTTGAATCAGCTTCCCCCTAATTGGGGCTCTGGAGCCTGTGGTTCTTGGAGCACAAGGATGGGAAATTTCCCATTGAGCCTCTGCAAACAGAAGATCAAATCCCCAAACCACAATCCAAACCACCAACCAGGGGAAAGCTAAGTGAATGGTTGGCCCTACTCACTGGCCCCTGTTACTGGCTTTTTGTTCTCTCAAGAAGTAGCCTGAAGGAGGGACACTTTGTCAGTGTGCATCTAGCTAGGTGCAGTGCACGTACTGGGCTGCCCGTTCTCGGATCTGCTAAAAGTGACTATGAACTTGTGGGTTACCCAAGTTGAACCGGACAGCTGTGGGGTGAGCTTAAACGCAAGTTAATGGGAACGACTTCTTGGAGAGTTCCCCCAATTTGTAAGACAAACCCACGCAAGACACGCAAGACGTGCCTGCCAAAGCTCCTCAGCTTGCTGAAGCAAATCTTCGCTCGTCACCTCCACCTGAAGGGGGTCTGGTCACTTTGGAAAGCTGTGGCCCGCAACCATGCTTAGTGCTGACATGGTTGTCACTGGGAAACATTTTACATGTTGCTCATTGTGGTTTGGTGGGAAATCCCCACTTAACTGCCTTTAAAAAAAAAAAAATGTTGCTCCCCTTCCAAAGTCAACCATGCTGGAAGCGGGGATAAGGCTTATAACTTATGATGCATTGAGGCCCGCTGGACAAAGTTTGCACGATGAGAAACTGCGGCTTCTTTGACGGCAGCTGCATTTCAACACCCCTTCGACGGAGAAAAGGCTTCACGGCAACGAGCCTCCTCTGCACCTTTGGCAGGCAAATCGACGACTTCCAGTATGACGCCCACCGGCAAGTGATCTGAAGGGTCCTAGACAGGACGTGGCAGGGTGGCTGGCTTTCCGACAGCGCCGGACAGTGGAATGTCGCTTGGGAAAGGACAGGAGAACCTTCACGTCTTCAGCTTGCGAAGGTCTCAACTAAAAAGCATCGCCCAATGCCAGAACAAGATTTGTGATCCCCTCTGGGCAAAGCTATGACCAAGGTTCACGACCTCTGCACTCGGGGTTTCTCCAGAAAAACGCCTCTAGCCACCTGTACGGCTCAAACTCGCCGAAGCTCTCGCTGGCTGGGCAGCCCCCCACTCAGCACCTCCAACTTGTGGTGCTCTGAGCGGAAGACGTCACGAACTGCCTTAACCGCCCAGCCAACAACTCACCATGCCGACCGGTGACTGGATCCGAGCACAATCTACATCTGGGTGCGTCATTTGTTCTTTGAAGGAGAGAGGAGGGAGAAAAAAGAAGAAGAAACAAAAGCATTCATTTGGGGGGGGGGTTCGAGTCATAACAAAAAGACAAGAGGACGAGCCACATAGCAGCGGAAGCGCGTGGCATCGAACCAGACCTGGTCCAGCATGTGGCAGGGCCCGCTGGCGCCGCGCAAGCTGAAGCTAAACTCCGCGCCGGGCGCGTAGGCAGAGGTCATCTGGTAAGGAAAGCTGTCCTCCTGGCCCTCCGGGACCGGTACCGGCCACCCAAACCTCACATCGGCGTGCAAGAAACCTGACTCGAAACGGAACGCAAATACCAAGCTCCCGCCATGAATCAAATCAAGGTCCCGAGGCCCCAAGCCCTCAACACGTCTTCAAATCTGGCTTCAAAAGCTGCATGCAGCCATGCTGCTCCACGACACCAGGCAGCACGCTGCCAAAAGAAAGGTAGGAAGCCACGGCGGAAGATATCAGCGGCCTAGCTTGGTTTATGAGAGAAGCCCAGCTGCTAATCTTCCCTCCAACTGGTGGTTGGCGGGGGGGGATGTCCCATTGACCCTCTAGAAGAACCAGGGGTTCAAATGCCCAAACCACCAACTATCACCTGAGCTGACAGGAAACAAAAACGAAAACAACAACAAAGCTACAACACAAGGCCCCCGCTGAAGGATTTGTTGGGCTCAACTGGTAGGATGGCACATCCGCCACGCTCACCGTACGTCTCGGCATCCAACCACTGCCCGTTTGACTGGCAGTTCGGCACGCTTGACTTCACCCGGAGCGTCGCGAAATGTTGCCAAGATGTCTCCAATTCAAGACAAGTCGCCCAAACGTTGTGTGCCCGCATGACATCGGATTTTGGTAAGCCCCCAGAGAGCCTGACCGCCAATTCCCTTGACTTTTGCCCCGACAAAAAGTCGGCCAGGGGCGCGCGTTCATGTCGCCGGCCAGCACCAGGGCATGCCTCTGCCCGCCGCGGCGCTTGGCTTCCAGCAGCGCGGATCGAAGCTGTGCCACCCGCGCCAGGGGCTGCCGGGGATCGCCTTCCAAGTGGCAGTTGGCCACACAAAGCCTCGGGCACGATGCGCCTTCAGCTGGCCTTCAAAGCTGAAAGCTGGCCTTGCAGGACCTCCATCCAGGGGAGGAAAACTGGGCCTTTCAGATGCCAAGGGGAGCCCGAGGTGGCGCCGGCTGAGCACTTTGACGGGCAAGAAGTGGCGTGACACGTCGCATGGAACCACTCGAGTGAGATCCGAATGCCGGTCAGGCGCTCAGCATCGCGGCGCGAGTCCCGCAAGCCCAACAAGAGAATTCGGCTCCTGTGGTCTGCCCAGCCTCAGCGCGACGTGCCCAATGGCAGCTTTGTGAGCTTGTGAGGCGCTTGCTGCGGAGGAGCTCAGCGAGAAGCGCTCCGCGCGGAAGAAGGACGCGTTCCCGGTCGGGTGGTCTTCGCCCTTCTTCTTCCTGGGCCCACGTGGCAAATGCCCGAGACCAGAGTCAAACCCGCGGAAGAAGCTGCAAGCATACAATTTCAAGCTGCTAGCAAAAGTTCTCAGCTCTTTTGCCCAGAGGCGGGCGCTGCATCACTGCACCATATCCCACAGAGACCAAGCGGGCTTCAAGCTCTTCGAAGAGATCATACATCACCTGTAGCAGATGCAAGGCAAGCGCTTCCAAGCCAACTTGCCTCAAACCCCAATTCATGCCATGTTCATTCCACGTTCACATTGGCCTCCTGCAGGAGGATGAGGTCCGCGTCTGCCTCCAGCAGCTCTTGCATGATGAGCTCCACCCTTGAACCCCAGTCCTCGCGAGTCACATGGAACAACTTCAGACACCAACCAGCCCCGGTCCAAAGCTGCAGGCGCCACGTGCCCATACAAGGCGTTGCCCGAAGCATAGCAGGGCGCAAGGACATTCCTCAGAAGAGCAAACCGATTGCCACAAACCTGTGCAACATGAGCACTTCTGTGGGACCTGACCAAGCTAATTCCCTTGCATCGCAGAAGTGGCGATGAACCCCTTGATCCCACAACCCTGGATTTCCATCAATCGTGCCACCTCTGACCCAAGCGTACATGCACAGCGGCCAAGAGATCAGCGAGACCGCCTGGCAAAGTGGGCTGAATTACTGAAGCATGCCATTGCCTCAGACCTAAGGAAGGTCAAGATCTGCGCCGGCAGTTGCAAGCATCGCAACTTGCGCAAAAGAATGACACTGACAGTTGATCTTCCAACGGAAGCCATCAGCAGCCCACAAGGAGAAAAGCTAAGCCCTGGCTTCTACCCGTGCCTCCCGCTCTGCGCCGAAGCGCCCTGCCCGTGCCAATGACACCATGGCCCAAGGTTGCCTAAGGTTTTTGGTTGCACCTTTGCATTCCGAACTGCAGCATGCCAACGATCTGGCCTAAGGGAGACCATGGTCGCCTGTGCCAAACTGATATGATATACGTTGCGTGACTTTGCGGGTCAACTTGAGCGCGTTTATGCGAAAAGACTCCCAAGACAGCGCTGCTTCCGAATACTGGCAGAGGCTTCCCGAAGCTATGAGCGAGCGCTTGCCAGCAAAGTCTTGTGCTGTTCTTGTTTAGCAGCTGTCCAGCAAACGCCGAAATTTGAGCAGCCCTGCAAACTATTTCAGAAACTGACACTCTGGAAGATAGACTGCAGATTTCAAGAGTGCGACAGTGTTCCTCAGCAAGGTCTGCCGCATCACATCTCTCTCTCTCTCTCTCTCTCTCTCTTTGCTCTCCCTCTGTCGCTCTGTCGCGCTCTCGAAGCAAAACCATGCGTGCATTCCCTTTTTGCTCGCACGGGGATACTTGCTCCAACTGGCACTGCCGCTATTGACAGCCCAAAGAAAGGGCAAGACTGAAGCAGGCGGATTCGCAAGCCGGACCAAGGCGGCTGCCAAAACGGCAACCGGCCGAAAGCCAAGCCACTTCGTAGCAAGGCCAAATGAGGACGGGTGGCGGGGTAGTACAAAGCCCGGCTCAGCGAAGAACACCACTGGCTCTTGCAAGTCAAAAGAAAACAAACAGACTCGGGCACATGCGGCAGAACGGCGTCACCGGCCTTGCAAACCTGCGCCCTCTCGCAGCCTCTGCTCCGGACTCATCCCGGCAGGAGACTAGCCCTGTTTGTAGGGCTTCTGCGAAGGGGTCGCGCCTGCAAACAACTCCTACGCATCCAACGTGCATTGTCTGAAACGCCGCCCAGAAACGGCGACTTCAAATGCCATGCTCGCAGCCACCCTGCGAATTTGCAGGATTCAGCGATGCAACTCAGAGCCACTTGCTCTAATTCGTCCAGCCTAATGCGGTGAGCATTCCCTTCGAATGGAAAAGACGTCCCGCAAGTCTAGAGCACTAGGTCTCTATGGGGAGAGGCTTCGACTCGCCCCACAAAGAGAAAATGGCAGCGTTGCCTCATGAACCCCTGCCTCGGGCCTGGAGCTCATGAACCAAGACCCCGGTCGGTTTCCCTCTGGGCCTTCGAAAAATTCTTGTGATTCACGGGAAACCGCAGGGCATCTTGGCAAGGGAAGGGCTAGAAGCCGGGCAAAAAAAATAAATAGAGCACGTCTTTTTGGTCACTCGAACTTCGACGCATTGGGCCCTGAAAACAAGAAGAACACCTGTTTCTCTGACACCCCCGGAGAGGAAAAAACAAAAGTATTACCATGACCTGCCTCAAGCCCCTCCGACTGTCCATCGCCTGGCTAGCGTCGGCTAGCATCAACCTGGTCTGCAGGGAGAAAATGCGGCTGCCGACTTTCGTGGTGGCTCCAGCGCAGGATTCGCCCAAGGTTGGCCAGAGCTTTGGAGCCTTCTGCCCTGACGGGTCCGAACTCTCTGAGAAAAAAGAATAACGCTGGAGACATGATGTCAGAGCCTTCCTGCCTTAAGGGGGAGGGGTGAGGTCCCACAATTCCATTTATTCAGTCTTCCCCACACAAGGGAAATGGAGGGGTGGGGATGTCAGAGCCAACTCTTGACGAGATCACGCGCTGGTGGATGAGAGCAGCCAAAATTGATGTCCGCAGTTTGGGCTCAATCTCAAATCTGAGGTTTCTCTCGAAATTGGCTGCTGAACGACAAGCCGCGTCCTAAATGACCTGCACAAACCGCATCGGATCGGCGATCACTGGTTGCTGGCGAGCCAGCACAAGGGCTCTGTGCAACCTCAGTGGCGCGACCTTCGTCTCCCTTGCAAGAGAGTGCTTGCCATGGGTCTGTCTGCTTTTTGGAGGAACCCCCATGTTGCTTGTGACCGCCCATGTGTGGGCTCCCCTAAACTTGGCTGGAATTACAACCCCAGCAAAAATATATATATATATTTTTTGACTAGTGAGTGGAAAACAAAGGAGGCCCCCCCACGAAACAAAAAAAAAAAAACTAGAGGGGAAGCTAATTCTGAGGAAGTAAAACCAGCAACACAACCAAATGGGGTGAGGTTTGGCATCCCACCTACAGATCCCCACAGGCTCAGCACCCCTCTCGCCGCCAAGCTGCGCTGCCAGAATTCCCTCAGTCAAAACGCAAACCCGAGTGCATCGTCCGTCTTCAAGCAGCGCCCCGCGTCAGCTTCCCTCTGGATCGCCAGTTGCTGCTTTTGTTCCATCCACTTTAACCCAAAACCCCGCAACAGTGACTGAAAAAAGCAGCAACTTGGCTATCTAGGTGGTTAAAATTGGTGGTTTGGTGGTTAAGGGCCCTGCCGCCCTTCCGCCCAGAACATGCCAAGCCGCATGGGAGAGGCCTCTTTCGCAGGCTCCTCCCCGTAAACATGCACTGGTGAACTTGAGGTTGGGAGCGATGCCTCGCCAACCACGCCACCAGCAACTCGCAGCGACTTGCTTGGCTCAAGATGTGCATCTGCTTGGCCGTGGAACTTTGCGGAACGCTGCTTTCGCCATTGCAAGGGGCGAACCAGCGGCTCCCGCCTCTTCCGCTTGCATCATGAACAAAAAACTGTCCAGACCTCAAGCGGGCGGCAGAATGTTTTATGCTGCAAGACCGAAAGAGCGAACTAGGCAGATGCCCGTCACATGCCAGGAACAAGCATGGCAAGGTCTAATGAAGTCAAGTTACTAATTGTTGACTTAATGGTTGGAGCTTCTTCATGGGCTGTACAAGACCTGGCACTGGAGGCAAATACGAGCAGAGCTATTGCCCAGTGCCAACCCACCCAAGGCTGCACGACTGCATTCCCAAAGTGTGGCCTGACGATGTCCTCCCACTCCGACTCCGAGATTGAATTGCATAGCAGGACTTGCATGTCCTGGAAGCGAATAAGGCCGCATACACCTTGCAGGGCTCAGAAAACAAGCCACATCTTCTCGTCACACCTCCAGACTGCTTCAGGGTAGCTGTTGGAAGCCGGCACTCTAAGCCAAGCTGCTCAGCTTCTGGAAGCAACGCTTCAGCTGCTCAGAAGTATATCTTACTTTACCTCAGAGCCAAAGCTTTGGCTGACAAAGCCACTGAGAGGGTCGCACAGTGCACCAAACCAAGCTGAGCGACAACCGGCAAGGGCTGCTGTGAACCTGACTGCCACTTCCAGCCAATTCAACTGAGCACTTTTCTTCCCAAGACCTCCACTGAGGAGCACTGATGCTTGCTTCAACCAAGCTATTTACCCTCCCAACTAACATGGAAGTGCCAAACGCCCCGTTCCCAAGAGGAAAGCCGGGCTTCTTTCTGTGCGCCAAACCATGTTCGATAAGTAGCCTCTTTCCCACTAACATGGCACCTGAACGGATCTTCCAAGAGGAAACGGATCTTCCAGGTACCCTCCCACAAAAGAGGTGGAAGGGTAAAACCAAAGGAAAAAACCCGCCAGGTACCCTTGGTACTCTTCCATGTGCTTGGGGTTCTGCCATGTCACAAATGCCATGTGGCTGTGGGTCAAAAATAGGTGCCCGAAATGTTTGGAGCCCTGGTAAAGGAAACTAAAACCTGCGGTTTTCAGGTGGTATGATTTTTACCCATACCCATATGAATTTCAATCGTTTCTCCATGGTCCAATTCCTGGTGGCGACACCCATATGGGTTTGGGTGAGGTGTGTGTTTTAGGGGACCCCCAAAATGTGTGTTTTTCCTTTCTTAGCCTTTCTTTCTTGGTCCAATTCCTGTCCCTGGCGACTCATTTTGACCCAGACCCATGCTGGGAGGAAGGCCAAAATCTCGCGCTCCGAGCCAAGGCGCTCCCGGTAGCCGCCCCGAAGCTGGCGCACCAGCCGCGAGGCCTCCTCCGGCTCCAGCGCGTAGTCCTGAAAAGGCGGGGGGAGGGGGGGGGGTGGAGGGGGGGGTGGAGGGGGGGGGAGGGGGAGAGGGGGGGGAGGGGGTGGCGGAGAAGGAGGGGGGGATGGTTGATGTGGGGCCCCCGCCTTTAAAACGTGGTCCGGAAAAAACAAAGAGCCCACCCCCACAGCGGTGATCATCCCAGCCATTCTTTTCAACCGTCCTTCTTTCCCAAGATTTTTGCTGGGGTCCTGAAAAGAAGGATCTCTAGAAGGAATTGACATGGGCGCTTTTTGCTTACTGCCGGCTCCCGGATATGCTCATCCTGTTTGTGGTTTTCACTCAGAAAGGGAAAAAGGAAACCAACCATTTTGAGAAACCATTTCCCACAAAGGCTCAACCGAAGGTCCGAGCGCAACCCCAAAAACGAAATCACACGAAGCGGAGAGGAGAACCTGGCTGGCGGCACGTGGCTCCGTGTGAGCTACAAGTTGCTTGCAGCAATAAGAAACGAGGTGTCTCACACATGGGGTGGTGTCATTTCGTTTCCCTTACAAGCCCAGGGGTGCAGTCAAAAAAGACCCCAAAGCTGACCCATGGCGACATCAAGAAATATCTTTACTCACATTTTTTCTGGGCAGTCACCACATGCTTTTGCAATGAATGACATTGTGTTCACCTGCGAACGCAATGTGAAAACATGTTCGCAACTGGGAGCAGGATTGGTGGATTCTAAACTGGTCCAAGCTAAATGGAATGGAGGCGCAACTCATTTAAAACGCAAACCACATGCACCAAAGAAGCCAGAAGTCTGAATGGCGGCCAACCGATTCATACGTCAGTCTTGGTCCTGTCATGTCCAGCGGGCGTAAATACATTCCTAATTCTGCCCCTACATGGCTCTGTCTTGTTTTTGGGGGATGTCCCAAATGGCGCCAATGGCTTTTTTGCAAGGCCCGAACCAAAACGGGGTCGAAGAAAAAATTTGAAAACATGAGGCCTGCACCTCTCAAGCCTTCGGGCCGAACTGCCCAGGTCCCTAGGCGTCCCTTTTCTGGCTTCAGGAAACCGAGACAATCCAAGGTCCGATCCCTAACAAAGACACGGCCATTTCAGAGGGCAAGCGCCAAAAACGCCCAGTTGCAGCGCCCAGAAATGGAGGAGACAGGATGGAAGAAGAGCGGGCCGCCCCCACCCTTCCCAAGCGCCGTGCTTTTCTTTGCCAAGCTTCCACGGCTGAGGCGGCGCGCATGAGCTCGTCGGCGTCCAGGCACCCATCGCCAGAAGCGTCAAGGGCAAGGAACGTCTCCCGAAGCTCCTGGCATTCATGTTGAACCCGGAGTAACCAACTCCAGTGAACTTATTTATATGGGGGCTGGTTTTTGGGCCCTCCAGACGTGAGGATTCCCCACCAAATCGGACTCCCCAATATTGGTGAACTGGGGGTGAATAATCCGGGGTCCATCTGATGGGTGGTTTTGGAGCCGGGTGGTTTGGCGATTGAGGAGCCGTGTCCCATTTACCCCTCTACAAGAACCAGGAGCTCACATCCAAACCCAAACCACCAACCCAAACCAGCAAAGAAGGTATACCCAAGTCGAGGGGCGTGAGCTTGAAGAGCGCACAACAAGTCAAGCTGAACGCAAAGGCCTCAATGCAAGTCTCCAGTTCGAGCAAGCAATGGCTTTGGCAGCCCCTCCTGCACTGATTCTTCGTCAAGCTCCTGGCAACTTGTTCGCGTGTAGCTTGCTGACCGGGCGGGGAACTCTGGCGGTATCAGAGGTTCTTAAAGGACCCCCCCCCCCAATTCTCCCCGAAAGCATTGCGAAGGGGTTCTTCCTGTAAAATCGCGAGCCGTATCGTGCAGACAAACAGTACGCGGCACATGCAAGTCAGAAGGCGCGACCTCGCGCAGAGCAAGATGCACAAGAAAACATGCACAGCAAGTAGCACGACAGCACATAGCAGGCAGCACTGGAGCACCTGCACAGCCGAGCCCATGCAGATCAAGCAGCACGAGAGCACATGCAGAGCAAGTAGCATCAGAGCGCATGCAGAGCAAGATGGCAAGAGGACACGCAGAGCAAGCAGCGTGCGAACACATGAAGATCCAGAAGCGCGAGAGAAATTGTGCAGCAAACTGCACGAGAGAACGCGCGCAGCAAGTTGCATGAGAGAACTCGCGCAGCAAGTTGCACAAGCAAACTAGCGCGAGAAAGCTCGTGTAGACATCTTGAACGAGAAACTCAACTTAAACCCACCTGAAAAAACCAAATGGGTTACACTTTTCCAATCCGGTTGACCATCCGTTGTGTGGCGCATGTGTGTGTGTGTGTTTTTTTTTTTTAACGACCCTGAAAAAATGACACCCTCTGCAGGAACGGCCCAACTCTACACGTTTGCTTTCAGCGATACCCTGCGCCACCCTCTGCGGGGATTAGCATGGCTGGTGTACAAGAAGTGGATTTGCACGCATGACGCACGCAAAAACTATCACAGAGCGGCACGGAGAAGTTGCGTTGAAAAGATTTGAAAAGCTTGCGCGGAGATCTTGCGCGAAACTTTCACGGAGACTCTTGCGGCTACTCGAGCATTCGTAACACTAAAGCTGCTCACTATATGGGTGTGGCTCAACACTAAAAAGCTGGGGGTTCGCGGACTGGTGCCATTCCTCCCCTATACCAAGTGCCATGTTGAGCACCATTTGTTGAGCCACGGTATTGTACAAAACCGGGGGAGCTCAGCTTCAGCTGACTTTTTCACGTCCGGAGTCCGGCCTGGGCCAGCAACTGAAGGGACGCCTGGTGCAGCTTGTTGGAGGAGGCATACTGCTTCAGGCCTTCGGGAGCTGCCACTTGACGCACTTGAGGCCCCACGCCAACTGGGGCATGTTGACCCCACATGGCCATGGGTCAAAACCCCGTACCCCCACTAAAATGGACTAAAATGGCGGGTGCACCGATCCCAAAATAGTACTATTGGTTTTGAACCATGGCCAGGTGAATTTCAACCGTTTCCTGATAAGGGGGCGTCCCTGCTCAGTGGGAAAGACCACCCATATGAATTTCAACCGTTTCCTCATAGGGAGGTTCAGTGGGAAATCAGACCCCTGTTCTTTCGGAGGAGCCTCCAGCCCCCCCCTATATCGGGTTGATTGATATGTGGTCAACATTCTGGGTCAATAAAAACACCAGGGAATGGGTCAAAATGAGTCACCACGAGGATATGGACCGCTGGTTTTTATGTGTCCATTTACCAGGGAAAACCATTTTGGGTACCACTTTTTGACCCGCACCCTTCCTTTCTGCACATCCCCCTCCTTCAAAGATCCATGCACCAACGCCATCGCTGCTGCCTTGGCTTGGTCTTGCAAGCAGCACGCTTGCAAAGAGCGCCGGCAAGAATCATGAATGTCAACGCGCCCTGAAAATCCTGCAAGCTGTGCACCGCTTCCTTCAGCCACAAAAGACACTCTGGGATAGCAGGTGCAAGCAAGGCACCGTATGGCGTGGGCATGTCTGGGTTCAGAAACCAGGGATGCTGCAGCGCCTTTCAGAAACCCTGCTCTCCATCGCCACCCGAGCAAGAGACACTCAAACACGGCCCCTCCCCCCCCCCGCCCCGCCTGCGCCGCGCTCAGGCGCCGGGCCGGGTCCTTCCTCGCCAAACGGGCACGCAAGCGTCTGGGAGTCTATCCATTGCTTGCCGAGCTGCTCCAAGAGTCTGAGGCAGACGTCACAGGCTCCCTCTGAAATATTGCCTGAGTGGGGCAAAGGGGTGGCTTGCAACTACGGCCGGCCAAAAAAACGAGAGCCCTGACTCAAGACAAGTCACCAAACAGTTCATCTGGCAAGGACACCTTAGTTGCAACATCCATTTCAGCCGAAACCTGCCCAAACAACTTCTGCATCTCCTTCAAAACAAATGTTTGAGGCATGGCCCAATGCAATTCAGCCACTGGCTTCGGCGCAATGATTTTCGCCTGCCAATCGAATGCGCAAGCAGGACAAGTACAAGCTCTTCACACCCAAAAATGACTCAAGTCCAGGAGTGTGCTTCCTCCCGAAGGTGTGTACCAGTTCAAGCCAGGCCTGCACAGACTGCGCATCATCCACATTGGGTGTGTAGAATGGGTGCCAGCCAGTAAGCATCTCACACATGATGGCGCCAATACTAAACAAGTCCTCGGTCACCAACTGAGGACTGAGGACGCTCAGCACATGACTTCGCGGGCCAAGGTGACGTGCCAAACATATCAAACTGGGCTGCTCGTCTTCTGATCCGTGACGAGTTTTTTGCGGCTTGAATGGGAAACAGCCACCAAACCCTAGGAAAAGGCGAGCAAGCAGAGAGGCCGCTTTCTGGTCATAGACGCCCGCATTAATCATTTCCGGGGCCATGTAGAAGGCGGTGCCGGCGCGTTGCATCATCTGCTTCCTGACCTTAAAATTGCTGCGTCGGGTTGGCCCCGATCCCCCCCCAAAAAGGCGTGGGTTCCCTTTGGAAACCAGGATCCAACCCAAAAAAAGACACGCCCACAAGGCTCTCACTGGTGCTGTAAACAACAGGAACTCCACCTGGGCTCCTCCAACATTTCCCCTTCAAACATTCACCAAAAGGAAGCTCCTGTAAAACAAAAATCCAAAATCAAAAAGGCGAGGAGTCTAAACCCACTACACGGGAAGGAACTCACACGGGGGGGGTTCGACCCCTCAAATCCGGGGCAGCGGGCGTGAAACCAGCGTGCCCCGATGCGGGGCAGCACCTTCGCCAGGCGCCCCAAGGACTTGCTCCGCGGGATGGAGACCTCAGAACACTCTGCTCGAGGCTCTTGGTGCGGAGTGGGGAGGGGAGAGGGGAGGAAGCCATAAGGCAGGCCCTTGATTTGAGGTTTTGGCTCCCCCCCTCCCCCTCACACCCCCCCACCCGACCTCCCCACCCGACGAGCTCACAACGCTTCCCCCGTTTCCCTCACCTCCACGGCGTTCTCCCGCAGCTGCTGCGCGAAGCCCGCCAGGCCCAGGTCGATCAGCTTCAAAGGGCTGCTGGCCGTGGCCTCTCCCGCGACCGAATCCAAGCGACCGATCCGAGCGGCCGAATCGACCGAAGCAACCGACGCAGGTCAAAGCAACTGGGCACAACAAACGGAGAGAGCCGGAGATGGATTCCTATGCGGAAAAAAAAAAACGTAGAAGTCGCATTCTAAGAAGCAGAAGAAAAAAAGAAAAAAAACAGGCATAAAAAACGTAGGAGTCAAACCCCGGGAAACCTACAAAGAACTAAATTCCCACGGAAAAAGCAAACATGAGTCGCATGCCAAAACTCTGAACAAAGAAGCCCTCTTGGCTTTCTCAGGGTGCGTTTTGATTGAGCCAGTGTCCCAGGTTTTGATTGTTGCTGTCGGAAAGAAACGGCGGTTTGTTCCCCATGGCCGCCAGCACATTTGCCGTTTCCTGATGCTTGAAAGAACCACTCAAGAAGCTCCAGTTGTGCGCTGCGAAAAGATGCCACCCGGTGCCTGAAATTACCCTTGCCCTTGCCCTCATTAACCCAGGTGGGTGAGGAGCTACCGGGAATGCAAGGCCCCTGCCGCCGAGACACATCTACAAAAAGAACGTTGTCAGGCTTCACATCCTGCGCTTGCGCAAGCGCGCAAGTTCAAGGACACCCACAAAATCGAATCCACGAAAAAGTGCGTCGTCTTGGAATGTCAACCAAACAACCCAGCGCACTGCAATGTTCATGGCCGGTCCCGATGTACAATGCCACCTCAGTTTCGAAAGAACTCCTCTGGCACCCCCTCTCTCACCAGACACGAGAAAAGTTGCTTCAAGCAAGCCACGCTGGTGGCAGTACATCGCAGCAGAGAGAAGCTGTCGGAGCTGATAGGCAACGTGGCCCTCCGTCATTGGGCATTTCAAGGTCTGGTAGTGGTACGCAATGCGGAAAAGCCTGGGATGGCAATCCACTTGGGCCTTTGCATCTGTCACCCTACTCTGCTCACGGTGGGCAGCGCCTCTCCCCACAGCAAGCCACATTCATTCCCAACACACTACCAACATCACCCAGAACCAGCATGTTTACATTCAACACTAGAGCACAAAGAGCATTGCTTCACCCATGAGCTTGCCAATCCTGGCACCATCAGCATCGCCAGCACTACCAGCAGCATCACCAGCAAATGCCAGCGTCACTGGCATTGCCAGCGTCACTGGCACAAATGCCACATTTGCCAGCATTGCCGGCGATCCAGTGACATCACACTCGCGGCCTTTGCGCCAACAACACACAAAACCTCTTGCAGCAAAATGGCAAATCCCCGCCGGTGCACAACTCCGTGAGAAGGTAGACCTTCCGTTGCCGCTCCTCAACCGCGCATCAAAGCGCAAAAAAACAATGGGTGTTTAACCGATATGCGGCAAAAAAAAAAAAATGAAGTGCGGTGTTTAACCCACGCACGAAAAGAACAAATAAGAAACAAGTTCTGGTCCGCCAGGAGTCCGTGGTGCTGGGCTCAAAGTACACTTCATGCAGCTGCAGTACATGTGGATGATTCAGTGCTTTTAGGATGGCAATCTCTGTCTCCACCAGCCTGTGCATGATCAAATGGAGGAGAGAATGGAACAAAAATAAGAAGAAAAAACGGCATGCGTGACAACTGCCAATGCGGTCAAGCGCACTTGCGTTCCAGTGGAGTACTGGCGGTCAACGCCTGGCGATCCAGCACAACTCGGGGTTCTCAAACAATCCTGGTGGCCTTGAAATCGGTGCGTCTTCTCCTTGTTCGGGACCGGTTTCCCCCAAAAAAACGGGTGTTTCCTTGTGGCTTCCCTTCAAACCCACCCAAAAAACGGGGACACCCATCGGCGAGCGCCTTGCAGGCGCGCATCTGCCCGCCCTGGCGGTGCTTGGCGCGCAGCACGCGGCCGAAGGCGCCGCTGCCCACGGCGGAGATGAACTCATAGTGCTCGAAGACCTGGAGATTCGGCTCGCGTCCCTTTCTTGGGTTTTCCAGGGGTTGATTCCTTGTCCATTCTTTTCAACCATGGTTCTTTTCAAAAACCGGCTGTTTCCCCGTTTAGATGGGCAGGGGGGTCCTGTTCGCCACCGTTTGAGAAAAAATTGGCGATGTCTTCAAGAAGGAATCCTTCACTGCAAGTGCCCCTGGCTGAGATGGGCTTCTTTTGGGTTCACCCTTTTTGGGGATGGTTTCTTTAGAGATGGCATGGCGGACAAATGGCGCTCAGTTTCTGAGAGCCCACAAACCAGATGCGTGGGCTAATTTTTCGAGTCGGTGCTATGTCGAGACAGCCCCATATTATGCAACTGAGATGTCACTCGATTTGGAGAGAAAAAAAAGGAAAAACAACGTCCGCGGAAAACCGGTGCTAAATTTGGCACTGGCCGAAGCGCTTCCAATTGACCTTCATGCTTTGGACAAAGCAAATCCTTGGCACGGCAGGAGAGCTGGCATGATGCAAGCACAGAAACGCAACATGTCCAGCCCGTGTGAAATCCTGGGGAAACCTTCCAGGCTTTAGCCGAGCTTCACTGCTGACTTCCAGTAGTGACGTGCCAAGGATGGGTCGTAAGAGTGCTCGAGGTGACATGCACACATCCACTCCTGCACGCAAAGAAGCGCGAACAGTTCGGATGTGCTGGAAGCCTTGCCTGGGCCACTCACCAAGGACAATCGAGGAGAATGTTCGTCCTGCACAGGAAACGCTCCATGCGTTCTGCAACCCTGCGATGATGGTTGCGCACGTCCTGCCCCAGGAGGGAAGACACAGTTGCCTTGCGTCGCAATTTGGGTTCATCGTTCACCTCTTCAATCTGCGGCACGGATTTGCTTCTCCATGCTGCCCGTTGCATCTCACCTTGGCCATGCAAAGTATGTGCCGGGGGGGCCATGCGGTTCTCAAAAAAAGTGGCCGCCGCCAACATGCCGAAATTATGGTGTTGGTACAGTTGGAGGTTGATCAAAAGGTGTCCTGGGATGACCATTGGGGAAAACCGCTCACAAGATGATATTTCCCACTACAATTGGAAAGGCTAGCCATGGTGAGTTGAGCCGGACGGAATATTGATCAATCCCCAGTTTGTTGCAGTGCAAGGCACACATGTCGCTTTTGTCGCTGGTCCTTGGCGTGGAAGGCATTTGCTGTCCGCTGCGCGTGGCGCAGGCGCATATCAAGGCCTGACCAGCAAATCTTGAGATTGAGGCGGCAGTGCTCTTCCTAATTACACCCTGAGATTGTACACTTGCGAGACTACTCAAAGAAATCATAAATAAACCAGAATAACCAGGCTTTATCTAGAGCAGCCAGATTCCCCTGAGGGCGTAAGCCCAGGGTGCAGTAGGAAAACCCTTGTGGAGAATTCCTCGCCTGCTCTAAGAAGCGCCAACGCTTGGGGCTGTCCAGGGAGGACTGGGATGCCTTCGAAACGGGTGAGACATCACAGGGATTGTCGCCGCCCATCCCATGTGAGACGCACTGCCAACCCGTCAACTTCAAAGTGGCATGTTGTTGGTGGTAACTCCATAGTTGTGCACGCATGGGGATGCAGTTCTTTGACACCCGTTGGTTTGCAGTCTGGCTGGTTCATATCAAATAGCATCTCTCCTGTATTCTCATCGAACCCAAGAGGCTGCAGTTCAGATGCGACATGCCTCTTCTGAAGCTGCAAACTGTTTCTAACACATCCAATCATTGCATCGCAAAGGAAGCTACAAAGGCAGTTGCAGTGCCCAACCAAACGAACCTGCTCAATGAACAATGCAACTGCATCACAACAATCTCAGTTGCTTTCACAAGCATCTTGTTAGGGGGACAGCACCATTCAACAGTGCCGCTGCCATCACCTTTGCCATCACCTCTGCCAAGAAAGGCAAGCAGGCGGCGCTTGAGCTTTTGTCCTCTCTGTGAAAAGCTTGCTTCTCACTCTCTCAAATAGTGGCCCCCCAAAGCAAGCAGTTTCTTTTTGGAACCCCTTTCACTACCAACCAAAACGGGGTCCACTCATTTTGAGGAGCCTGTGAAAATGCTTTGGCAAGCAGTCAAAGCATTTCCAGGACCGCCGCTAGCACGCACTTGAAAAAGCCACCCCTAGCACCCAGTCCGAGATCCCGAGAACATTTTGGTCACTTGAGGAAACCTACATCTACATTTGGCAGGGCGTTCCCAATTAATCAAGACATTCAGAACCG